GGGAGAACTAGATGGAACTTTGGTCTGATTTAGCAGGGCTTTTACATTTCTGTGCTCCTTGGGCCAGGGATCTGCTTTTTTCAACTAACATTGTTTTAAAAGCACTGCATCTATTGATAATACCAGCTAAAGGAAAACAAAACAGTACGTAGCTATTCTTTTGGACGACTGATCCCCATCTGGAGAAAACATATTGTACAAAATGGGAGACAATAAAACTGGTCAACACAAAAGTTTTGTTTTAAAAGCATTCTTTGTATACATGGTGATTTTTATTCTACACGGTAACAAATGCAAAAGGAAATTTATTTGCCTTATATAGGCATCACTTGAGAACTCCAGCAGTGAGCAATGTGGGCCATGGAAGAGGGCTTTCCTACCACAATTTATGGAGGGTGAAAGAGGCTCTGAACATTTCTGGCGCTCTGACTGGGAGTTTTGCACATGTGCAACTGTAGATCATGGCCAGAGACTACCTATACCTCCACATCTGCACAAGAGAGACCATGGCTGCTGGTGGTGCTCTGAAGCAAGTGTAGGCTGCAAGTCCAGAGGCCAATGTGAGAAGCTTCTCTGAACAAGGAAAATTCGACATGTACAAAGGGGGATATCCGTGCATATGGAAAGTTCTCTGCACAGAAGTCAATGGGAAGCAATGCACTCCCACAGGACTTGGGCTTCATATGTCCTTCAAATGAGACAATAAAGCTCAACCTTGAAATTGATGAAACTGGCAAGCAGCTGAATGCTTAAAATCCCATTAAAATTTCAAAGGCGCTTACTTTGCAGGTAGTGTTTGCTGGATCACGCCCTTCATATATTGCAGTTTACAACATTGTTATGTTGGACATACACCATGCACAAAGAACAAATCATGAACCACAAAGTTCTGAAAGGGCACATTCATGAAGAAAAAAACCCAGAAATGCTTCCAACAGACTTGAATTTAGCTTTTTTTCCTTTTTCTTTTTAAAATGTTTCTACTGGTAACAGGAGATGAGCCCATCTCCTTTAGCTGAGCAGTTCTAAATACTTATGCCAGATGCAATGTTAAGGCCTGGTGCTATTTCTGGGGATCTCAAGCTCCCTCAGCATTAATGCGCGAGATCAAGGTCCTAGGAAAGCAATATCTACGACCGCTCAAAATACATCATGTCCCTCCATGTTCAATTGCTTCCTGCTCTCCAAGATACTTCCAAAGAGGGCATGCTGTTCTATTAACATATTTGGTATTTAAAGCCCGTATCTCAAGGTCCCCAAAGTAATTTCGCCCCCGTTAAATTCAGGTAAAAACTATGCCACATAAAATGAACTAAGATTTGGTAAAAAACAACCAATACCAGCTTGTCTGTCACCTGAAAACAGAGCTGGGACCTGTGTTAATCCTTTGCTCCTTTTGCATTATTTGCAGGGCATTCTTTTACATGTCTACTCAGAAGAAAATTCCATTAACTTCAGCAGGATTTTCTTCCAGGTAGCTGGATATAGGATTACATCCTTATCATCAGCGGGGGGGGGGGGGGTTCAGGGGGTATTCAAGGATATGCAGTACTGGCACCTCTTTTTGTTGTTAAAAAGTGTGGCATTTACTGTAACAACTTCATGGTGAGTACCGGCACCTATTTTTCTAGAAAGAAAGAACTGCTTATCATACTGTTCCTAGTCATTGGAGAAGGGCAAGTCCTGCCATCTGACTAGTAGAAAAAAAACAGAAAAGGACTCGGTTGGGGCTTTGGAGGTTTCATTAGCAATTGTACAAGTACTTTCAAGCCTGTGTTCCCTAACATAAGGGCTAGCAGCTTGCTTTTCCTGAAACGAGAGAGAGAGAGAGAGAGAGAGAGAGAGAGAGAGAGAGAGAGAGAGAGAGATATGCTGGGATTGTCAGGTAGCATTTTCTGCCAACCTGTAATCTTCTGGGAAAGGAGAGAAGTTACAGAAGTGCAGAGCAGCAGCAAAAAAATGCTTTCATGGCCCCCATCAGTCATTCTTAGTTCAAGGAAGGTAGTCAAATAAATGCTCTCTGTTGGTGTTAATTGTTGAAGCATGATAAAGAAGAGCAGTCATTTCTTGGGTATTTAAGAGAAGCATGTAAAAACACAGACTGTGATAATACCAAGCATGCTGTGTGCAGGAAAGACCATATTTTAAGTAGACTAGCTATCACCGGATTGTAAATAACGTTTAGCCAACGGCAACCTGCTGGCTAGGCAGGCGGTGCAAGAATATTGCAGACTTGCGGGATTGCTTAGCTGAAGTGATCATAGAGCAACAGACACAGAAAGCCAGGCAGCTTTCAATCATGATGGGCCATGGCCTGTACACCTGTCCTTTAATCCTCACTGCTACTGACTCCACAGTTATATGGCATCTGCGATTGCAAGAGGTGAGTTTGTGTGAAACAAGCTAGTTACAGCAACCATCTCCCTCTCTCTCTCCCTTTTCATTAACAAGAGATCTGAGTCAGGACATGCTACACGATTGCCTTATCAAAAAGTCTCACATGGTTCAAAAGAATTGGTCTTATATATGACCTTGGCAGCACAAAGAGTAACTGCAGCTCAGCGGAAAACAGCCCAAAATATTACACTGGACGCTTGGTAGCACTCACTCTGGAATATAGCTTTAATAGAGAAAATGATGCATAATTTGAGATTTCAACAAGGACTAGAACCTCCAGATACTTTTTATGTGATTTGGCATGACATACACAATGGAACCACCATTTTTAAGATGGGCTTTGTTATTTAAACTCATGCAACTACTCACTCTTAAGTGTCCATTGTATGGTTCCCTCCCCCCCCATCTTTTAATTTTCTCTGTCGTTATAATTGTTCATTATAAATTGTACATTAGAAAATGAAATAGTTTTAAAAAAAACTTTACAAAAAAGTCTGGTGTTCTCCTCCAGATATAAGAACTTGCCTTGTGCCATATGACCAGTAGACCACCTAGCCTAGCACTTTGATGTAAGCAGTGGTCCAGAGTCTCAGACAAAATTCTAGCATCTCTATCTGAGAACCTATAACAGTAGATACTGGGAACTGAATCCAGGTTCTCCTGTATGCAACATATACCACTGGATTATGGCTGGTATATGTTTGCATTGTATATACAGTTTCTGGCCTTGCTTAGTATTCCTTTAAGCACTTACTTTGTGGTTCCCAGTTGTTTAACCCCATCCCACAATGTGTCTCTTTGGATATTAATGGAAACACTAGTACCACAGCAAACTATGGCAAGTTCTTGTATGGAAGTGAGAGCTGGACCATAAAGGCGGCTGATCGCCGAAGAATTGATGCTTTTGAATTATGGTGCTGGAGGAGACTCTTGAGAGTCCCATGGACTGCAAGAAGATCAAACCTATCCATTCTTAAGGAAATCAACCCTGAGTGTTCACTGGAAGGACAGATCCTGAAGCTGAGGCTCCAATACTCTGGCCACCTCATGTCATGAGAAGAGGACTCCCTGGAAAAGACCCTGATGTTGGGAAAGATGGAGGGCACAAGGAGAAGGGGACGCCAGAGGACGAGATGGTTGGACAGTGTTCTTGAAGCTACCAGCGTGAGTTTGACCAAACTGCAGGAGGCCGTGGAAGACAGGAGTGCCTGGCGTGCTCTGGTCCATGGGGTCACAAAGAGTCGGACACGACTAAACGACTAAACAACAAAGTACCAGTTGAATGATTTGTGCATGTGGCCCAACACATTTCTTTGCTACATCTAAAAAGAACACTTGCACAAGGAATGTGCACAAGACATTTCTATAGCTTTTTGGTGGCATTCCTGTAACATCCAAAGCTGTCATTTGATCACGCGGCTATAGCTGTTTATGCAGCACCAGAGCTGCATTTTTGTGAAAGAGACCTGTATTTTACCGGTAAATATGGAAGGTTGAGGTTCTTTATCTGAACTACATTGTGGTTCCAATCCAGAGGAATTTATGCACGTGCAGAAAGACATCTTGCAAGGGCAAGAATTGCCATGCATTTAGTTTTGTTTAGTCATCATTGCCCAGGGAACTGTATAGCACAGGTAAGCTTTGATGTGGCGAGACAGCTGCATTGCTGAACACCTTTGAACTGCTCTGCAATTTAGTGCAATGTTATACAGCTAAAAAAACTTATCTCCATGTATCAGAGGCATCCATTGGCATTCTGAACAAGTACCCCCGAGGCGACATAAGAACCACAGCAATTTAGCAACTATTAACAGTTTGCAAATGCAAGTGAATGACAGACACATAAAACTTGTCCAGTTTTGAGGAACTACATTAAACAGAGGTAGGACACAAGAGAGTCTTGTCTCTGAGGACATGATATTTTCACCACCCACCCATCCTGTATTGCTAATTGCTTGTTTCTTATAAGAGAAACAATTCATACCACTCACAAGACAGCAATTAAGGCTGCTGTCCTGTTGTCCTGTGCCTGTTCATTTCAAAGAATGAGGCCAATGGCCCATCTAGTCCAGCATCCTTTTGTCAGGTCAACAAGATGCCTATGAGAAACCAGCAAACAGGGCTTGAGCACAACTGCACTCTCCCCTTCTGTGGTTTGCAGTACAGTGGTACCTCGGGTTACAAACACAGTGGTACCTCGGGTTACAGACTCCGCTAACCCAGAAGTAGTACCTTGGGTTAAGAACCTTACCTCAGGATGAGAACAGAGACTGCGCAGTGGCAGCAGCGGGAGGCCCCATTAGCTAAAGTGGTGCTTCAGGTTAAGAACTGTTTCAGGTTAAGGACGGACCTCTGGAACGAATTAAGTTCGTAACCAGAGGTACCACTGTATCTTGTATTCAGAGGCACACTCCCTCTGACAGTGGAGCCACAATGTAGTCAATCATGGATAGTAACCACAGAATGTCTTATCCTCCTTGAATTAGTCTAATAATCTTATTTTAATGCCATTCCAAGTTGTGGCCATCACTGCCTCTTGTGGGAGTGAATTTCATAGCTTGGCAAAGAGAAATGAGTTTTGCTTCCAAAGAAATGTGCAGGACTTCAGTGTAAGAGGGCATCGTTTATTTAGTAGCAACCTATGCCAAGACATAATTAGGCTACAATAAAATACAATATACACTATAGCCCCCAAGAGGCAAAAACAGTATCCGGTTCATGGATATCCTGAAAAACCCAGGCCACATATACACCATAAAACTGACGGATGCTTTTGTTAAGGTGCTTACTTAATGAACTTTATGGAATGTTGCAACATATACATACATGCAGAGTATCACTTTATATTTATATATGTATACTGTATTTAAAATGATAAAAGAAACAGGCTGAGATTGCCGAAACCCTTTATAATTTCTAATCCATAAAATGAATTTAAAATATTTAGTATAAAACTTCTAGAAAAAAATAAAATTAAATGATCAAGTTTCATTTTTGTACATAATATAGAAAACATTTCCAGTTCTTTTATTTTTTTAAGGCATTATTCTGCATTGGATTCTGTCCATTTTGTGTGCCTCAGTAAGATGCCATATGTACCAAAGAGCGTTTGAATGACTGCGCATAATGGGAGAGTTCTGTCACCCGGTCCACCATGTCTTGCAAGGATGCTGTGCTGGGATAATTCAGGGCAGCCACCTTGGTGGACATGACGATGCATTTAAGCAATTCGCAAAGCTGGTTGCTGGAGTTCATTATACTGTTGCGTATTTCCTGAGTGGTCAACTGCCTAGTGAGGGTGTCCCCAATGAACACCAGCTTGTGAGCACTTAAGATGACGAACTTGCTATGCGCAACAAAGATCCGCGGTGGCTGCGCAGCACTAATGCAGCTGAAGAATGCATCAATGGCGTTTAAAAGGGAGATGAAGTGAGTCTCACACTGGTCCGCATAAAACAAAAGCAGCTGCCTTTCCTGGGAGGCCATTGGGCTGTTCACAGGGTGAAGGCCTTGAGGCGGCTTCCATTTCGAGATGTCGTTTTCCACGGGCTTCGTGATTTCTTGTTCCAGCCACTGGAACTGATTCAGCTGAAAAGGAAACAGCAGAGTCAATGCCACATTATTTCAAAGTGCCGTTCCCTCTAATAGCAAGCTCTTTAAGTGCCAAAAGGATGGAGGACAAAATAGGGTAACAGGAAAACAAGAGTAGCAGCAAGCTTGGGCGAAACCAGAGGAGTGCAAAAAGCACATTTTAAAAAAACACGTTTTGTGCTTTGTCTATTAAGCCTGTGGGAAGAGATGCCATGCTTTTAATGTGCTTTCAGGGGCTTAGTACATTTTGCATGCTTAATAAAATAATAAAGAAATGTGTGTTCTGAAAAGAGGACAGCTTCTCCTGCCCCCTGCCAGCTGGCCACGTGGTTTAAAGAGACAGTAAATTCTCCATTCAGTGGCATTTTGTGACTTTTCCTCTTTTGCTGTTTTTGGCGCTTCCACAAACTCTTACCTGGTGATGCTCCAGCTGCATCTTGCTCTGCTTGATGATATTTTCCTTCTCTAGAAGCTCTTTCTGTTGCCTTTCAAACTCCTCCTTCCCCTGATTGGATAACATTTAAGAAACAAAACAAAGAATGCCATGTCACGCATGTGCATCTCTTGAGATGACAACCAGCCAGGAGCGTAGCTGTTGCACAGCAGGTATTTCATTATGTTCTCGCTCCAGTTGTTATCATTGAGGAGAAGGAAGGGATACAAGAACAGAGAGAGCTCACCATGTGAAATGATCCCAATAAGAGCGACAGCATTCTTCCCCCCATGCGATTCCTACCAACTGTCATTCAGAGGCAGAACACAGCCACCGTGACTAGTAGCCATTGGTAGGAGATGGGGCAAACAGCCTACTACTGAGACATCATACCCTGGGGTGAGCTGCTGTCCAGAAAATGGGTGCCAGTGTGAGGGATTTCCACCTTCCCCTGCAGCACTTGAAGCCAGAACCAGAAGAGGCCCGAAGAGGGAGGAGCAAGGACTAGCATAGCGATGGAGTCTCAGATTGCTTGGAAAGGACCCGGGGGGGTGTGGGGGAGGAGACTTAGACAACAGTGGGAAGGTGGGGAGCTTCAGGCTCCACAACTGGCTCGTAGGGGCAATATCTACCGCAGGGGTCGGCAACCTAAGGCCCATGGGCCACAAGAGTCCCAAAGGGGTCATTTAACCGGCCCACGAGCCGCCCACTTGGCGAGTCTCCGCACGCTGCACTAAACTGGCACAGTGTGGCATGGGGACTCGTTTCCACAGTGCCAGAAATCGTGCACACGCGCGATCCAGCCCATGGAGAGATCTCCGTTGGAGTGAACCGGCCCAGGTGAGGTAAACCTTGCCAACCCCTGATCTAGCGGGACGAGCTGCTTTGCTCATTAGGCCTGGCCTTCTGGGGCAACCCTGTTTCCTTGAATAAAGAGTTAACTTCACTGATGCAATGTGAATCATTGCTCTCCTACTCCTGACCTATGATGATGGCCACTAAATAGCCTCGGCCCAGTATAACTGAAGGAGCATCTCCACCTCTATTGTTCAGCCCGGACACTGAAGTCCAGCGCCGAGGGCCTTCTGGTGGTTCCCTCACTGTGAGAAGTGAGGTTACAGGGAACCAGGCAGAGGGCCTTCTTGGTGGTGGCACCTGCCCTGTGGAACACCCTCCCATCAGATGTCAAGGAAACAACTATCTGACTTTTAGAAAACATCTGAAGGCAGCCCTGTTTAGGGAAGTTTTTAATGGTTGATGTTTTATCGTATTTTAATATTCTGTTGGGAAACCCAGCCAGATGGACGGGGTATAAATAATAAATTATTATTATTGCTGGCTTTAAAGGGAAATTTAAATGGATTCATGGAAAATGGGCCAACAGATATCCATTATTGCTAATATTCATTCTAGTTCAAAGGAACATCCATGTTTCATGGCAGTATAGCTCGGAACAGCAGTTCCTGGGAGACAAAGCACAGAGGTGGGCTGTTGCCTTCCTGCCCTGCTTGTCAGCCGCTTCCCAAAAGCATTTGTCCCTACTGGAAGCAGGATGCTGAGCCCAGGAACCTGCTGTCAGACCACTGTATACTGACTGGCAGCAGCCCACCAGGATCTCAGGCAGGGGTCTCTCCTAACCCTACTAGGAGATACTGGAACCTGGGACCTTTGGCATGGAAAACAGGTGCTCTTCCACTGAGCTACGGCCCTTCCCCAAACCTGGCTTAATCCAGCGAAGCAGGACCCACCTGCAAGTGCACGTAGTCGTAGTCATCCATCCAGCTCTTCTCTGAGCCATCGCTGCTGCTGCTGCACTGGCAATGCTGGTCTTTGGAAAGGAGGGGTGACAAAGAAGCACAATGCCCCTGGCTCTTGTCTCCAGGGCGCAGCGTCTGGGCCTGAGGGCTGTCATATACATAATCTGCAATCTCCGACGCATTCTTCAAATAAGAGCCACTCTGCCCTTGCTTGAAGAGCACCTCGGCGTTGAGGCTGATGCTGGTGGTGAGCTGCTTAGCATCGTCTGGGATCGTCCTCGCCACCATCACAAAGCGGTCCAGATCGTCGCATTTGTTCTGGACCTTGTTGACAGCCAGGACGTTCAAGGACCAGCTGCAGCTGCTGAGGTCGTGGCTAGTCTGGGTTAAAATCTGGTGCGAATCTTCCAGCCTCTGCAGCTCCCTCCTCAGCTTGTTGTAGAGGCTGAGCTCAGAGAGGAAGGACGCATTGGCCGCAGCTCCTTTGGCAAAATGAAGGTAGTCAACCAGGGACTGCTCCACCTTCTCGACGGCTGCGTGGATCTTGTTGATGTGCTTCTCCATGTACTCGTAAGACCGCCAGTCGGAGTTGACGAAGGCCATTAAGCTGGAGACAGTGGTCTCTACCGTGCTCTGATGCCTGTAGAGTCTCTCTATGGCTGCGTCGGGATCCAGCGCTAATCTCTTGTCCTTCTCTGGGGTGGCAGAAAAGGACGATTCTTTTGACGTTGTGGAAGATGTGGACATGTTGCTCCTGGTGCTCCCTGTACTAGAAAAGGACAGCCTGTTCATGCCATCCGTCACGTCCTGCAGCCTTTTAGTGTCCTGTGTCACCTGCGGAGGCACATCGTACACACCCTCTTTGGTTTCACCATCCCCAAATCCCAAGAGCTGTCCGGGGAATGGGACTCCTCTGGGGGTGTCATAGACGTCCATCTGGGGAGCTATCTGCTGCCCAGCAAAGGGGGTTTGGTGGCTCACTGGGACATCGTACAGGCCTTGCTGGTGTGGAGGGAGGTCGGAAGGGGCAGGTGGGCTGCAAACGCATTTCTGCCCGGTTTCCTTTGCAGCTCCTTTGGCCATGGGAGGTGGGACGTCGTACACACCTTCTGGCCTCGCATCATGCTTCACGCAAGAGGCTGAGTCGGGCAAGCACTCCCTGGGATCTGCAGCATCTCTGCACCCCAAAGGTGGGACTGAGTAGATCTGGAACACGAAAGTAGGAAAAAGCCATGAGCTGCAAAAAGGCATGGCCTCCATACCGTGAGGCCTGTGATTAATTCGTGAAGACATCTAAGACACTGAGGCAGGTCAACATAAGTGCTTGCACTGGCTTCCAGAGAAGGTGAATGCATGCTCAGCTATGGTCTTGCGATCTCTGGATCAGCATGGTCACAGCTCAGTAACACCAGGTTGGGCCAGACACATGATTTAATTGCTCCTCAGTACCCAGGGAAGATTGGTGCCGCCATGGAAAGTAACCCACCTTACCCAGATGGTTTATCGGTAGCTGTGTTAAGCACTATATTGTGTTTTTAGCTGATGTTTGCACTCCCCAAAGCAGCAGCACCAACAGGAAGGAAGTTCGGGAATGGCCAAGAGACCCACCATGTCTCCACAAAAAAAAAAATGTAGCTTGGGATGACTGTGGCTCTCTGTGGCAAAGCCTGTTATGCGGCATCTTGCAGAAGGGAATAAACAGGTTGTGTGTGAATGTGTGCCCTGATGGGAAACTTCCACGGGGACGGGCGCACCAGGCAGTCAGAGCCCCAGAGAAACCAACAAAGCAACTGGGAAGCCAATGAAGCAACACGGATGAACTCCTCTCAGGTGAAGCAGAAAGATCCAAATCAGCCCGCTGCACGAGTGTTGATTTTTCAAAACTCTAATTACAAGAATGCCTTACGTAAAGCTAGTAATTACACTCTGAAGTTTATCTTTATCACAATTTTAAATAAATAAGCGAGCTGCAAGCTTGAGGGGAATGTTGAAAGGGCTAGAGAGTTCAAAGCACTCCCTGCTTCTTCTGTAAAATGCAAAATGTACTTTTTTTGTTCAAACATGCCTTCGACACAGCATGAAATTACACGTTTGCTTTCAATGGAGGAGGAATAGACTTACGCCTTTTGCAGGAGGCACATCGTAGACCCCTTGAGGTTCCACGTTCCCCATCTGGGCGGTGTGTGCGGGACCTTTAAATGATGCAGGGGGGACGTCGTAAATCTTAGGAGAGAAGAGTCGCATTAACACAAACAGAGGAAAGCACCATAGGGACCCACAGCCATTTCAAATCTATCTAACCCCACTCTGCCCCTTTGCTTGGGAATTACTTCTGTAACAAACAGGATGAGGTTTGGGGTTTTACTTGCTGTTGCTTAGGGTTTAAAGAACAACAAACAACAATGGCGACATGCAAAGACATCTCCAGACCACTTTCATGCTTTTCTAAAGGACCGGTTTTCCAGTTTTGGAAAAGAACGAACGTATTTTGGAAAGATATTTCTGAAGGACTGGGGTCATATTTATTTATTCATGACATCTGTATCCCAACTTTTCTCCAGGAGCTCATGGCGGCTTATGTGGTCTCTTCACTCTTCACAACAACCTTGTGAGGTAGGATCAAGTTAATAAGTAACAAGTGGTCCAAGGTTACCCACTGAGTGGCTGGATTAACTCCCAAGTCAGACCATTGAGTCCAACTAACTTATCACGATCACTATCAAATGTGGTTTTAGTAGAATTTGGAATTGTTTTGACAGATTCCAGATCAGTAGAAGAGAAATGTGTATGAGAGAAATTTCAGAACATGGACATAAGATGAGCCCCCACTGATCAACCCTCACTGTCTAAGCTAGGATCCTGCTTTCAAAAGGATTTGGAAACTTGGGATTAGTTGCCCATCGGAGAGACCCCCCAAACAAGACATGACAGCAATTGCCCTGGGCTCGCTGCCCAACTACTGCTATTCAGTGGCATACAGCTCCTGAACACGAAGTTCCATTTAGGCTGATATCCTGTGTCAACTTACACTGAACCAATGGGACTTACTCCTGAGTAGACATGTACAGGATTACACTGTTGGGTCTATCAATGGCCATTAAAACTACCCTCCATGACTTTACCTACACCCCTTGTAAAGCCAGCAAAGGCTTACATAACGAGTCGTTAATTGTTCAGCTTCCCTTTGGATCCCCCTCCCCCCCTTTTAATTGAGGTTACCTTGGCTACTTTCCAGTCCTTCAGAAAGGAGGCCCACTTTCATGACAAGCTGCGTATTTTGTTAGAAGGCCCGCAATTTAACATTTGAGCTCCAGTGGCTTGTTAAATTTTAATTTGTACATTAGCAGGGCTGGCCTTAACTGTTAGGCAGGTCGCCTTGGGCAGCTGATTTTGGGTGGTGATGAAAGGGCCATAAATGGTTAGTGATTTAATTTATTATTATATATTTTACTGCCAGGGAGAGACACTTGGGATATATATATTTTTCGCCCTATAGGACGCACCGACCCATAGGACGCACCTAGTTTTTTTGGGGGGGGAAATAAAGGGGGGAAATTTTATTTTCCCCCCCCAGCTGCAGATATCTGCCCGAAGCGCGGGGTGCTCTGCTTCAGCGCGCCCCGCGCTCCAGGCAAGCGGGCTGCGGGTGTCTGCCCGAAGCGCGGGGCGCCCTGCTTCAACGCGCCCCGCGCTCCGGGCAGCAGGTTGCTATCCGCAGCCTAGGGAGCCCTGCGGGAACTCCAGCAGGCTCCCCAGGCTTGCTGATAGCTTCCTGAAGCGTGGAGAGTGCACACCGACCCCTCTCGCTCTCCACGCTTCAGCGAAAGCCTGCATTCGCCCCATAGGACGCACACAGATTTCCCCTTCATTTTTGGAGGGGAAAAAGTGCGTCCTATAGGGCGAAAAATACGGTATATCTCCTTTTATCTTGCCCCCAAATAACTTGACCCACCTTGGTACTATGCAGCTTGATTTGGGTGGCTAAGAAGATGGAGTAGCCCATGTAGGGAACATTCCAGCAGTCCAATGCAGGTTATTAAGAGCATAAATCACCGCACCCGGCTTATCTAAGTCCAGAAACAGCTGTAGCTGGTAAATGAGGCATAGGTACCCTGCACTGCTGAGGCCACCTAGGATTCAGCTGACAACCTGGCATTGAGGAGCAGCCTCAGACTATATACCCGCACCCCGTGATATCTGCCCCCTCCTGGGAAACACCTTGTGTCCAAATTCCAACATCAGCTTCCATCCTCTGTAGCACAGCAGTGAAAATGTCTGACAATAACCTGGAAGACCAGGGTTCCAATCTACCAATCGTCTCTGAAGCTCGCTGGGAGACCTTGGGCCAGTCACTGCTTCTCAGCCTGGCCTACCTCACAGGGTCAAATGGGGAGTGGGGAGGAACCACAAATGCCACCTTGATCACCTTGGAATAAAGATGGGGTATAAGTGTGATAATAATCATCAGGGCTTTTTTTCAGCTGGAACTTGCCGGAACTCAGTTCTGGCACCTCTCAGGTGGGCGCTATTGCCATTCTAATAGAACAAGGGAGGAGTTCATGGTGAGTTCTGGCACCTCTTTTTCTACAAAAATAGCACTGATAATAATAATAATTAATAATATTAATAATAATAATAATAATATTCTAACATTGTGCTTGTGTACTATTATTACTGTAGTCTGCTTAATTTTTGCTTTAAGCATATGTGCATTTGTGGAAAATGTGCTGTAGCAATAAATTGACTATGACCGTAGGAAAGCGATCTACAGGAAAAGGCTTCTGACACGGGGCTCGATCCTCCTGCAGCTTTGACACTTGTGATTTATCTCAGAGCGGCCGCCCTGCTCCTTCTCCACTGAAGTATGAACGCAGCTGCTGATGGTAATTGATGCCTAATCCCTAACAATTTTCATGAGGTGTGAATTAACTCTCCCGCCCTACTATCCCTCCCTGCTCTGTTCCACTGAGATCAGCACATATGTGTGCCATTTACAGTCCCCCTGGACCTTAAGATGTGGAGCAGGAAGGGCTGAGTTGGGTATTTCTCCATTCTCTCTTGGATGCTTGCTCTTTGCAAAGATTGCTCCACCAACGACATGGGGAAGGTCCATGTTGCTGAACTCCTAGCCAGTGAGGAACTTCTACATGCATGACAGAAATGAGCAATTCCTTGCTCAGATATTTTGCACTCGTGCGGGTTCCCCTAACACATGACAGCCATGCTTTCATTCTTTGCCAGTCCCAATATAACATGGCACGAAGCAAAGGAGATCAGCAAGACTTTCTGAAATGTCTAAGCAGGACACCAACCAGGAGAAAGGCAGGGCTCCATCATATAACAAGTAGGCTGCTGCCTGGAGCACAAATCAATTTCAAGGGGTACTTGTTACATTGGGAACTATACACAAGTCCCTGTGCAAAATGGGAGGGGACCCTGAGGATCATCTCGTCCAACCCCCTGCAATGCAGGAATATGCAGCTGTCCCATGTGGGGATTGAACCTGCGACCTTGGCATCATCAGCACCACGTTCTAACCTACTGAGCTATTCAGAACCCACTGAGATGCCCCAGGGCATGCTGGGAGACACAGTCTTTGTGCCAGGATAACCTCAGAGTAAAAACAAGCTAACGAACCCTAACCTACACAGGCAAGTATGCTCTATTTTCTTATAGTATGCAAGTCCAGCTAAGCTATTTGTACTTATATTCAAGGGACTAATATTTCTTATATGGGGGGGGGGGGACATTTGAACTGAGAAACAGCATTTGGAAAAACACACACAACAGACCACTTTCTGCTTTCAGGTATTCTGTGTGACCACTTGAAGAGATTATTCCCTTAGAAAACAGATGCAGATTTTCTATTTTTGAGCCACATGCAGTGCATTCATTAAACTCTGTGGCCATCTAGAGAGTGGGAAAGGCAATCTGGTCAGAGATTATTTTTTTTAAAAAATCTGGAATGAGTAAACCTGATCCACACTTAGGAAATAGATAAAATGCCAAGACCTCAGATGCAGATTAATTTCAACGGCCATTGACAGCTTTATTGGTACTTACCCCTTGGAGAGGACGAATCGGTGGGATGTCATAGGTATCCTTCTGGTATTTGGTAGGGAACTCATAAACATAACCTTGTCCTGACCTGACTGGAGTTACTACCTATGGGTTCAAAGAGAAAGACAGGAAAACATAAATACTGAGGCACTTGGCCAGGCACAGGTCAGCCATGTTAAGAGTCTTTATACAAACATTCATTTCACTAGTTGATGGCAGTTTTACCAGGGGGAAAACCCAAACCATCGTTATTTTGAGAGTAAAAAAAAAAAAAGGATACCTAAGATAGCTCATAACAACTTTAATCCTGTGTGAGTGTGTGTGTGTGTGTGTGTGTGTCTGTCTGTCTATCTATCTATCTATCATGCAGTGCTTTTTTTCTAAAAAATGTTTAGGGGTACTCTCATTTTCCTACTCATGTTGAAATACTGCCCCTCAATGAGGCCAAACTTAAATTCACAAAATGTTTAGGGGTTTGTGTCCCTCTGCACCCCCCAGAAAAAAGCACTGTATCTATCTATCTATCTATCTATCTATCTATCTATCTATCTGCCAGCCTAATGTGTGAGAGCTCTCTCTCTCTCTCTCTCACACACACACACACACACACACACAGAGAGAGAGAGAGAGAGAGAGAGAGAGATGCTTTATTTATCTGCTACTAGTCAATCTGGGAAGGAAGCCCATCTGGGAGAATGAAAACTCTGATCCTAAACTTCCACAGCCTTGTGGGATATCTTTGGGAGAATACAGGGCTAAGGAGTAAACCCTGCACAAATCCAAAGTGAAGTCCCTAAGATGGTTGGATGCTGCCTTGTACGCCTCCTTCTGGCAACTCCTGCAGCCAAGCTGGTGCCAAATGTATACCATATTTTTTGCTCTATAAGACTCACTTTTTCCCTCCTAAAAAGTAAGGGGAAATGTGTGTGCATCTTATGGAGTGAATGCAGGCTGCGCAGCTATCACAGAAGCCAAAAGAGCAAGAGGGATTGCTGCTTTCACTGCGCAGCAATCCCTCTTGCTGTTCTGGCTTCTGAGATTCAGAATATTTTTTTTCTTGTTTTCCTCCTCCAAAAATTAGGTGCGTCTTGTGGTCTGGTGCGTCTTATAGAGCGAAAAATACGGTAGCTCAGCTTTCCTTTGGACCACGTCAGTGAGGCCAATAGCAGAGTCTTGTCGCCTGGGAAGCCCAGGACGTCCACACACACTGCCCAGGCTTATGCCCCAGGGAGGTCACTTTGGTGCTGCTGATGCCATGATTTGACTTCACAGACCCTTGGAGAAGCATTCCATTGTTTCTTGTGACAGGCGGATGCCAGCAATACGGTCAATCTGCATGCCCACATGGAGATTAGCTGTGGATCAGATGTACCCAACCAGCATATCTGCCACATAGACCACATTCACCCATGGATTTTACTCTGCAATGATAGCTTGAAGTGACACTGATGATACTGGGGACTGTATTTAAATTCAGAGTCAGTGTTTGGAGAGAGGGTGTCCAGTGATTGTATACCTATGATTATGAGGTGCTTCAGGAATTACATATTTCAAGTACACACACACACAAAAATGCATGAATGAGAAACACGGGCAACGGATTTCAGAGGCTGTCATATAAGTGCACTCAGCAGACAGCCATGGTTGCTTGTAGCTTCCTATGCAAGCTACAGTCTGTGGGACTCTGTGGTGTTTGTGACAGATCCTTTCCTCGATCCAAGGCAATATTTAGAATGTCCCGCCTCAATCACAAGCTAATCCATTCCACTCCCACTTGGGGAGTCAAGGGGAGCTCAAGAAGGAAGAGTCTTGTTGTATGGCTATATGCCAGCAAGGAACATGAACTAAACTCTACACCTGTTAAGCTTATTCTGCATCCAGCTGCTGATCTTTAAGAATTCCAGGTGTTCTTAAATAGACTGATCCATCCTGGAGGGGGTAAGTTGGAGTTTTGTTTTTGCATTTCCCCTCTTTTTTTGGTAATTGCTGTTGTATACTGGAAATCTATATTTATTTTTAAAATAATAATTCCAGGTGTTCTGATCACATCACTAATTTTTCTTCACCTGCTATAAAGGAGCTCCTCATCTGAATTTACAAACCAGCTTCAGATTAAATTGGGTTAACAAATAAATGCTTTACATCTGGAATGAACATGACTCTCCCCGGCAAATATGCAGTTAAGTGCAACTTTTAAAAACTAACACTAAAGCCATCAACAAACTTTATAGAGGAAACTGATACTGCCAAAATAATAAATGTTATTTAGCTGCACATTTTTTTTATTAACGCCCAGACACAGAACCAAAAAAGATGCCTGAGAATGTGTTGTTAGGAAGCAGTGCTGCTTAATTTAAAAGAAGGCAAATCGAGATGAAATTTACTTTTAATTTCTCTGGTAAAATGCCAGCAAACCCCAGCATGTAGCTACAGTCCTGGGCAAGACATTTATTTGCAAACAGCATTGTTTTAATGCATGGTCACATTATGTGGCAACTTTTCCAAATATCTTCTTGTTGTCATGACTGAAATCTCATGGCTACCCTCACAAGAAATCTAATTCAATTACGCAGAATGGTTTCGCTGTATATTGATGTACTAAAGAAGGGTTTAACAAAGAAATATTTGGGACACAAGAAGATGCCTTATACTAGGCCAGGCTATTTGTCCAGCATCATCTGCACTGACTCTGGCTCTCCAGGATCTCAGGAAAACTTATTTCCTGTTATCTGATCCTTCTAGCTGGTGATGACAGGTATCATACCTGGAGCCTTGTGCATGCAAAACACATTATCCACCAATGAATTGTGTTTCATTTAAATGGTTAAGCACCATCATTTTCTCTCTGGCCTTTTGCTAGGTGCAAAGGATGTCACAAGTAGTGCAGCTAACATGGCTGTAAGATTTATTTATTTAATAAATTCCTATACAGCCCTTCATACCAGATCAGAGCTACCTTCACTTGTCACTTATGCAGGCTCATCAGGTATGTCTATGGTCCATCTTCAGAAGTGAAAACAGCAAGGCAGACCTTCCCAAATCGGTATATCATGCATTTGTGTACCGTGTGTGTGTGTGTGTGTGTGTGTGTGTGTGTGTGTTCTGTTTTGAATCTGTTGGGAGCCGCCCAGAGTGGTTAGGGAAACCCAGCCAGATGGGTGGAGTATAAATATAGTATCATCATCATCATCACCACCACCATAATCATTATCATTATTAGAATTGCCATCGCAATTGCAAATGTTCATACACACAGCCAAGGAGTGCCAAAAGCAGTTTCAGCCTTCTTTCCTCCCTTAAGCCCCCAAACAGTTTTAAAAGCAATGTTTTCCCTAGGATTGACAAATGTGCAAAATATCTACTCCAGATCTCTCAGTGACGAGTTTATTATTAGACTGCCTACTAAGTATGCCAAGCATACTTGCGGCAGAAATGCTTTGCAACAAAATGACTTTTTTCAAAGAAAATAAAAGGCGGGTGGGGGGGGAAGAGCTCATTTTATGACTTGTCCTCCAGGGGCTCTTTAAGTTGCAGAGATTCTGTTTAACATAAATAACAAGTCCCCGCGGTGTTGCAAACCTTTCCTTTAGGAGAACAGATACGGCAAATGAGAAACAAAAGTCTCTTCCCCAGGCAGCCTTAAATTTTAATCCTTTCTTTTAATGCAAAAACTTTGGCGTCAGGCTGCTTATACGAGCTATGGAGAAAATGCTCAAACTTAGCAATGCTGAAATGTGCTGCTCTTGGAACCTGGCCAAATGATCACATACATACATACGCAAGTAATCACATACATACACAGGGCTTCATGTTAAATTCCTGAAAATCTAGTTTTGGATTTTCCCCTCTGCAACTGATGGTTTGTGTACTGCAACATGGGAGGAGGAAGGCAACAATTCAGCCCCTATTTTACATGGGTGCTCCCCCCCCCCAACTGCCTGTGTGGACCCTTGTATTTATAGATGACTTCTGTAGCTAGTCTGTAAGGCTTGCCATTCACATGGGCCTGTCCACCTGGGGATAGTTCCATTTCTCGCCAGAGTGGTGCATGCTCTAGTTATCTCCCGCTTGGACTACTGCAACGCGCTCTACGTGGGGCTACCTTTGAAGGTGACCCGGAAACTGCAATTAATTCAGAATGCGGCAGCTAGACTGGTGACTGGGAGCGGCCGCCAGGACCACATAACACCGGTTCTGAGAGATCTGCATTGGCTCCCAGTACGTTTCTGAGCACAATTCAAAGTGTTGGTGCTGACCTTTAAAGCCCTAAACGGCCTCAGTCCTGTATACCTGAAGAAGCGTCTCCACCCCCATCGTTCAGCCCCGGACACTGAGATCCAGCGCCGAGGGCCTTCTGGCGGTTCCCTCACTGCAAGAAGTGAGGTTACAGGGAACCAGACAGAGGGCCTTCTTGGTAGTGGCGCCCACCCTGTGGAACACCCTCCCTTCAGATGTGAAGGAAATAAGCAGCTATCCTATCTTTAAAAGACATCTGAAGGCAGCCCTGTCTAGGGAAGTTTTTAATATTTAACGCTGTACTGTTTTTAACACTTGATTGGGAGCCACCCAGAGTGGCTGGGGAAACTCAGCCAGATGGGTGTGGTATAAATAATAAATTATTAATTATTATTATTATTATTTGCCCAAAGCTAGCTGCATAAAAATCTGCTGGCGGTGGCAACTTGCCAACTGGTTGACTGCATGCAGAGCTGTAGCCCTATGCAGAGTTTTGAGCCAGTGTGGTGTAGTGGTTAGAGTGTTGGACTAGAACCTGGGAAACCAGGGTTCGAATCCTCACTCGACCATGAAATTCACTGGGTGACCATGGGCCAGTCACCGTTTCTCAGCCTCACCTACCCTGCAGGGGTGTTGTGAGGATAAAATGGGGAGGGGGAAACCGTGTACACCACCTTGAGTTCCGTAGAGAAAAAGGTGGGATAGAAATGCCAAAAAAATAAAAATTGAAACTTGTTCATACTGCCCCAACCCAACAAGGGAGCTACCTAAGTGGAAACTTGCTTCCTCATGCAGTTTCCTTGCCAGATCAGGTACCATGTAGATAGATGGTGCAGCGATGCTTTTGGACACGAGGAAATACCCATTCACACTTCAGGGATGCCGTTAAATATATTGCACTTCTGATAGTAATATACGCATTGCTACCCAGGCTCCTGGGCCACTCAAGGACACAATTTTGCATCCCAGCCCAGGACTTTTTTCTTTACAGTGGGACCTCAGGTTACATACGCTTCAGGTTACATACACTTTAGGTTACAGACTCCGCTAACCCAGAAATAGTACCTCGGGTTAAGAACTTTGCTTCAGGATGAGAACAGAAATCGTGTAGCGGCAGCACAGCGGCAGCAGGAGGCCCCATTAGCTAAAGTGGTGCTTCAGGCTAAGAACAGTTTCAGGTTAAAAACAGACCTCCAGAACGAATTACGTTCTTAACCCGAGGTACCACTGTACTGTATTTATTTATTTTGAGAGGTGCAAGGAATTTTCTTGAAATCAACAGGAGTTGCGAGCACAGAGTATTGTTGTAAATCAAGAGTATGAAAGCCAAATTAAATTTGATAGTGGTTGCTTTCCATGCCCACAACGCAGGATGCACAGACACTAGTACAATTTTCATCCCTCAAGGGCATGCAGTTTGTTTCTAATCCCTATGTTTGGGGAATTGGTTTGTTCTCCCACCACATTTTCTCATCTCATATTTCTGAAATTACTTCTAATGATGAAGAATCACTCTAATGACTCTTTGTCCTGCAACGTACGGACTAAGAAACAGACTGACTTTTGTCCGGGTGCCTCCAAAGCCACACTTTGCATGAGGGAGAAGAATCGTACACATCTAAAGAAATATTACAGCACTCGCCCCGTTAAAAACATTGGTACTTGTTTCTTAGGAAGAACTAACTTGTCGTCCTCCCTATGGACACATCTTCTCCTGAGCTAAAATGGACTACTGGTTTGACCCGGTATAAGGCAACTTACTATGTCCTAGTCCAAATGGACAGAGAATCTGGGGTGGTTTGAACCATTAACTTCAGGGTCCTAAGGCTGAGACTTAGCCTAGTTAAATTACCCTGGAAGGTGTGTACTGAGCTCTCTTTAGAGGCAAAAGGGAACCAGGATGTGCACCATTAATACCTGGGATTGGCAGTCAGTGTGAAGTCTCTGGAGTGATGAACTTGGTACAGGTGCTAGGAGCCTGCACTTCTGCCCTTTCCAGGACTACTGTACTTCATAGAATTGGAAGGGACCCTGAGGTTCAGCAGATTCCAGCCCATATGTCAGCTTCAGCCCCAACTCCAGATGTTTATTTCAGGGACCTGGAGCTAAAGCACACACCCTCCAGGGACTCAGCTACATTAGTAAAGGAACAGCAATTTGAATGTGTTATAAACATGCAACACCAGATGGTGCTAGAGAGCAGGAAATTTAAAAATGTGGTTTTCCATAGAGTTTTTTTCTTTTGTTGTAACGATCTAATTTCTGACTTATTAATAGTGGGGTTTTTCATGTGTCTGGATCCACCCCAGGTCTAGATTTGGATATAGGCTTGACATTTATATGCATACAACTCTCACACATCTCCTAAAGCAAGGATGGAAAACCTGGGTTTTTCATATCCATATGTTGTTGGACTACAACTCTCATCATCATCCCTGACCAATGCTGGCAAGGGCTGATGGGTGTTGGAGTCCAACAGCATTTTGAAAGGAGCAGGTTCATCAGCCCTGCATTAAGATAAAGATAAAGCACCTTAATGGTTGTACCATCCATGCAACTATTTCATACAATAAGGTCACATTCAGGCAGCTTTTTCGGGGGGTTACCTCAGCTGAAAAAACCTGATTCCTTTGTGGAGATTAACCATGTCAGATCCATGATTTACAGGGACTGGATCACAGTACTCCAGGAATACCAGTATATTTGTTTGTTTCTGTAAAAATCCTTATAACTGATTCCAGGGCAGTGCACAATATATTCTATTGAATAAAGTGCTGCAACAAGAAGAAATCATGCAACATAAGGCAAATGTAAATGCAGCTGCAGGACAACTTCATCCAAGTGGTTAAAAGAGTTGTTTTAAAAAGCCTTATAGCAAGAAGTTGTGTGGGTTGGGCAAGTGTCCTGGTTCCTTCCCATGCCAATGTTACTCCTCCCTGGGGCTTGGTGTGGGAAAGAGTCACATTATTCACCCAACCCACACAATTCCTTCCTACCAGACAGGGCCAGAACAGTGCAGCTTCCAGCCACGTGGAAGCAGCTCTGGTGAACATATGAAATTGACATGGAGTTGAAAGCTGAAGGTTCAGAAGCACTTCAAGTTCTCTTTGGATTTGTCTGGTGGCTGGGATAAGCTGAGCTGGATAGCCAATATGGGGTTTTCATATCTGTTCCGTTTTGGTCTAGTTTCAAGCAATTACTTTGCCCTCCCTACTCCTTCAGAGCATCTATACATTTACAGTGGTGCCCCGCAAGACGAATGCCTCGCAAGACGGAAAAACCGCTAGACGAAAGGGTTTTCCGTTTTGAAGTTGCTTCGCAGGACGAATTCCCCTATGGGCTTGCTTCGCAAGACGAAAATACCTTGCGAGTCTTGAGATTTTTTTCGCTTTTCCCCCTTTATCTAATCTGCTAAGCCTTTAATAGCCTTTAATAGCCTTTTAGCAGCTAATCCCCTAAGCCTTTAAGCCTTTAATAGCCGCTAAACAGCTGATAGCGCTAATAGCGCTAATCCGTCAATGGGCTTGCTTCGCAAGACGAAAAAACCGCTAGACGAAGACTCTTGCGGAACGGATTAATTTCGTCTTGCGAGGCACCACTGTAAATAAAACAAACCCCAAAAGCACATTTTCTTGCAATTGAGTATAATGAGCCTCCAAAGGAAGGGGACCGTAGGCAGAGGGAGGAAAGATGCTTTCCCCCTTCACAGCCCCTTCTTTGCCCTCACTTCCTTAGAGTTTCTGGTATGCAGGAATGCGCTTCCTGAGAAATGTCAATGAACTGCAGGCTGTCATTTCCACACATACCCCATCCTTTCTCTTCCTTAGAAGAATGCCTGTGGTCATCTGGTTCTTGAAAACCCTACATCTCAAATCAGAATTTTTTACTTGTTTACGCATTAACAGAACCAGATGGTGCACCCACAGTCTCTCCCTCCCTCCCTGACACACTCGCTGATAACTGCCAAACACTGTGACCATTTCAACTACGCAGAACAACTGAGCATGGGTAAGTGGTTAAAGAAAAGTAAAGAACATACGTTAAACCTGCACCATGAAAGAAATGCATTTAATAATAATAACAACAACAACAACAACAACAACAACAACAACAACCATTATCAAAAGAACAAAGATGAAGTCTGTCAGAGTCCTTAGTCCTGCAATAGTGGTAACTTGGGTCTTTTCTATGCCAACTCTGTGTTCTTTTACCAAGAAAAACGCTGAGTGTGCATGTCCCCTGTCAAGCAGCCAGCTCTGCAGTTCATTAAATCCCTTTTCCTTACACAAAAGGGGCAGGGGGAGCGAGAGAAATCCTTCCTATTCATTACCTAACAGAGAGAGGGGAGGAAACAACAACCAGGAGAGCATTTAAGAACATATGAAGAACTGCCTTCCTGGATCAGACCAACAATCCATCTAGTCTAGCAGTCTTTCAGCAATAACTGACAAGCCGTTTTCATCGTTCCTGTAGCTGGAAATGAAATTTGAAGAAACGTCTGGCCCCACTGTTATGTCAAGTATATTAGGTTGTCCCCCTCCACCCACAATGGACTCCCAGTGAGGAATCATGGCTGTGGATCCCATACCACCACCAGCAGCACACCAGACCAGAATCTGACACATCTGTGCACTGTCAGAAAGAGGCAGAACTGCCAAGGATCTCATAACGTTTAACTCAGTGAGAAAGCATTGCTACTCGACATTACGCCGATATTCAGTGTGTACCTGTCATGTAGAGCATGACATAGAAACAGTCAACACAATTAAGAGAGCAGCTTGGAAGAGAGTCCTATGGCACAGTTGCACCGGCTTACTCCTACTCTCCCGGAGCACAGATGTGCTACGCAAAGGACTTTTGGGGAGTGGGGGAAGGACAGAGCTGTGACTACTGACAGGGCCTTGTTCTCTGATCTTAGTCAAACCAACAATGCATGTTTTCTAGATAGGACATGATAGGAGCTGAAGCTCACAGAGTTTTCCTGTTAAGTTTGCTAGAGAGAACTCAATGAGAGCCACTCCTGCTCCCTGTGCCCTGACAGGGGCAGGAAAGAGCCATATATAATCTTCTCACCTGGCTGAGTACTTCTCCATTGCTCTTTTGCTTCTCTCTTCCCTCTTCAATCTCATCACCAAGCCAGAAATGTGAGAGTATCGGCGTGTGTGGTACCTTTTCCTACCAGGGTTTGGAGAAAGGGCACACTCACCTGGAGTAATCCTCACTGAACTAATTGGCGCTGAATTATGTGTAAAGATGCAAAAAGGGTTCACTGCATGTTCCTATTCTCATTCTTGTCCTCAGTTTGACACTATTATAAGTCGCTTGGGTTGAGCGATGGTGACATGCCAGTGAGCATCAGAGGCAACTAGGGGCATAGACCTGTCTCTCTTCAGTGCCCCAACACAACTTCATTTATCACATCACAGTGATTTCTGATCCTGGAGAGGTATTTTATTTATTTATGGTTACATTACAGCCCTCCGGGGAGTTCAAGGTGGCATACATGCTGTTTCCCCTATTTTATCGTGACAACAACAACCCAGTGAGGTAGGTTACGCTAGAGAGGCTGTGAGCTTGATGGCTGAGTAGTGATTTGAACCCTGACCTCTCAGGTCCCTGTCCAAGACTCCAACCACTGCACCACACTGCCTTACCCTTTCCAAAAATGGTTCAACAGCTACTTGGACCGGTTTACTCCAGGAGTTTTTGTTAAACAACTTGATAAAGTGATTCTTTTGAAATATTGTGTTTCCTTACTTTTCCTTATGGTCATCTAAAGATCAAAGGTGTGTGGGTGTACAATGACTTAACAAGAGGGGTCAGATCAGAGAACAAACAAGGGTGCCCTCAACCCCTGCCACCGCATCCTTCGAGTCAGATCGGCAGAGGCAGGTGCATCGGATTAAAGACTTTGAGATGAGAGCTTTGCCTCTTATATTTCCAGCCATTACCAAAGTCTGCTCCTGTTGAGTAGCAGTTTCCGAAGAGAATAAACTTGCAAACGGAATCTAATTAAAACTGATTGTCCTTAACAAAAGAACCCACTGTTCTCTCCAGCTTTTCAGGAATGCTCCCACACGGAAACATGTTGCAAGTGAAGCTGCTTACGAAATCTCAGCAAGGAATCTACGGATGCTAAAAGTGCAGAAACCTAGATTCTGGTTTGGTTTGGTAGCCTTTATTACCTTCCCTTTGCTTTCTTGGTAGTTGGTGCTAGATAGGCCAAGCCCTAAAGAACTATACACACTGTTCAGTGAATGTGCAATGCCAGTGCATACAAAAATCAAGCTTTTAGATTTTCATATGCAAGCATGCCTGTTAAAACTGAAAAGTTATGAAGCATCCTTAGGTCACATCCACACCATTAAAGCACACAACTTCCCTCCAAGAGTCCTGGAAACTGTGGTTTAACCCTCACAGCACTACAACCCCCAGCACCCTTAACAAACTACAGTTCCCAGGATCCTCTGGGGGAAGCCATGTGCTATAAATGGATGGTGTAGATGTGACCTTATGCTGTACTGAGTCAGACAATTGGTCTTGCACTGTCTAATCTAGTACTTGTGTCTCTAGCTTTTGTTGGACTACAACTCCCGTCATCCCTAGCTAGCAGAACCAGTGGTCAGGGATGATGGGCTTTGTAGTCCAGTAACAGCTGGAGACACAGGTTTGAGAAACACTGCTCTAAACTGACCGGCAGTTGCTCTCTAATGTCTCAGGCATTTTCTAGCACTGCTTCCCAATATCTCTTTTTGCACAGGGGAGGCTAACCTACGGCCCTCCAGATGTTCCTGAACTACAATTCCTGCTTTCCCTGACCATTGGGCATGCTGGCCAGGGCTTATGGGAACTGTAGATCAGCAACAACGGATTAGCCATTCATGTTTCAACAGGGCATGTCACAGATTGTGCTTTCCTTGAAGGTCCCGGGTTCAAAGTCCTCCATCGACATGAGGTCTCAACCCAGAACACCAAGGACTGTTTCACACATTACACAGAACAAACCAAAGAGGCTTGCTGCTACCTCAACAGGAAGTGGCAGCCAAGCCCACCACCCAACCAAGCTTCTATGTTTTCAAACAGCTGTGTAACTTTCTCACATGACTTTTTAAAAAAAATGTACGCCTAATTTAAACAGACAGACATGGATAGCTAAGAGTGTGATGCAGTCCTACTTTTCATTTGGAGAGCCCTCTATTATTTTATAACTAATCAGCACAATCTGGGCTTGTCTACTATATATTTCAGACAGAAAAATAGGAACACGTTTTAAATAAAGGTGATAACATTACAGAGAAACAATGCTCTAACTTGCATTAAAAGCCAGAAATAATGTTGACAAAAGACAGCTGTAAGTCACTAGGCTAGATAAGACACAGTAATTATCTTTTTCAATCCATGATACTCTGCCTCTCACTTTGGTGTTAAAAAAGCAATTGCCTTAACCAGTCTCAACCAGCCTGTGGTGCTATATTTCAACATCAGACACAAACAAAGGTTGATTCACTGTGTATCTGTGAACAAACAATATCCCTGTTGGCTTTCCCCGACTCTATGCATTCTTTGAATCAACACATTAGTAACATGCCTGAAGTTATATGCATTTCCCCTACTCTGCATTTGCACTGTCGCTAGTATGAAAATATGAAGCCCTTTTATGACCGGCACTATAAAATCAAGTGTTCTAAGTGGGAATAAAGATATAAACTGGGTTGATAGTGAATCAAAGTATCCCCTCCCTGTGTTAGCTAGTTAGTTACAGATATCAATGCTGTTCTTTGAGCAGAGTAACATGAGCACAGATGGGGAACCAGAATGACCTGCAAGTCGCTTGTTTTAATGAAAGAATCCAAAGCTCAGAGAGAGAGAATATTGTATGTTGCTTCGGAGGTAGATGGTGCAATCCCCACCAAATCTTCAGTTAAAAAGATCTCGGAGTGGAGCATGGAAGGATCTCTGCCTTTCGAGACCTTGGGGAGCTGCTGTAGTTGCTGGCCTTTGTCTGTCTCAAGAAACAATGGAGAAGAAGAGTTTGGATTTGATATCCCACTTTATCATTACCCTAAGGAGTCTCAAAGCGGCTAAAATTCTCCTTTCCCTTCCTCCCCCACAACAAACACTCTGTGGGGTGAGTGGGGCTGAGAGACTTCAAAGAAGTGTGACTGGCCCAAGGTCACCCAGCAGCTGCATGTGCAGGAGCGGAGACGCGAACCCGGTTCCCCAGGTTACGAGACTACCGCTCTTAACCACTACACCACACTGGCTCTCTCCCCTGGAGTGCAGCTCCAGGGGTGAAATCAAACCGCTGTGTTAGCAGCACCAAAGTGACTTCCCTGGGACGCAAGCCTGGGCGGTGTGTATGGCAGTCCTGGGCTGCCCAGATGACAAGACCCCTCCCCCGGCCTTGCTGATGTGGTCCAAAGGAAGGCAGAGCAATACGTGGACTTCCAGGCAGCCCTGTCCCACCCCACTTAAAACAAAATACAGTGGTACCTCGGGTTACATACGCTTCAGATTACATACGCTTCAGGTTACAGACTCCGCTAACCCAGAAATAGAACCTCAGGTTAAGAACTTTACCTCAGGATGAGAACAGAAATCGGGCTCCAGCGACAGCAGGAGGCCCCATTAGCTAAAGTGGTACTTCAGGTTAAGAAAGACCTCCAGAACGAATTAAGTTCTTAACCCGAGGTACCACTGTAACTTAAACACTTAACTAATGTAAAAGGGTAAACTAAAAATACAAATACAAGTTGTAACACTTTAAAACACCCCCAAGTTTAAACCCCATCCCCATTAAATTAATAACTTGGCACAGGGGGGCTGGTCCGTGCCCTCACCCCACCCCTGAAATGCCAAGCCCCAAAGGGATGACTCCCTTTGGTGTGGCCCCTCAGGGCGGCCCCTCTCCCAGGTGAGCTGGCTTTATACAGTTGCCTAGCTGGGGCAGCAGCTCTTCCCAATGCTGCCTGCCTGCCCAGGGCCCTGATCTTTGCAGGGCTCTCTGCAGTCCTCTTGAATGAGGAGAGCTGGATTAGAAACCTGCCTCTAAAGGCCTGTGCTCTTTGCAGTGAGTCACTTTCAGGGAAAGAGGTGTTGTGGGCGGGGGAAGCCCCTCTTATAAGGCTTGCTGAATTACCTCTTCTGATAAACGCTATCTCAGCTCATCCAACATATTTTTCATTGTAAGTTGATACACTTTGAAAGCAAAATAAAAACTATTGTTTCCATAAATTATCGCCTATGAGCGTAATGAACCCCCAAGTAAGACTAGGCGAGATAGAAACTCACCACAACTTGTTTTTCACACATCATGAAACTTGTCAAAAATTGGTCAAAACTATGGGTGGATGCAGATTACCGTGCTGTGGGGTTGTCGGTGAAATCCAGGGAGGGCAGAAGGGGGAGAGAGCTCACAGTGTGTAGCACCCTTCTCTAAGCTGGTGCCTTCCAGATGGACTACAACTCCCATCAGTTCCAGCCTGCATGACCAATGCCCAAGGATGATGGTCGCTGCAGTCCAGAGCACACGGATGCCACAAGGGTGAAGTCCAACCATGCGTCGAAGTACATTTCAGGATGACTTCCCAACCAACTAACCAACCTATTTCAAACTTGTTTTACAGTTGCAATATAGGCATCCCACCAATCGATTGTGTGCTATTTGCCCCTAGGTTAAAAAAAGAAAAAGAAATAGTACGGATTGCTTTTAAGTTAAGTATCTCCTTAATATGTATTTTGGAACTTTTCTTGTGGGGCCAGCACAGTAAACCGTGCCCCCCCCCATTTTGATTGCTGATGTATAGTCATATTAACTCCTGAAATCCAAATGCTTTCCTTTGCCACAGAGAGTCTTTGCTGTTGTGGGAGGGAAGTATTTTTAACAGCGTCACCATTTAATTCTCCTTTAAAATGGATCCCTACTGCCATCGAGATCAAAAACCAATTAATGCTCAGCTGAGAGCTTGGGTGTAAAAATGAAAGCATTCAGTTACTCCCACAGAGACATCTTATAAAAACTCTGGGATTTTCCTTAGAATAATCATCAGTCACACATCAGTGAATCATTTCTTACTACTGCATATTCAAGGTAGAAGGACTCTTCAATTAGTGGTTTTCTGAGAAAGCCTGAAAGCTGATGAATAACCACAGATATAAATGCAAATGGCTGAGATACATGACTGTTCTCAACCATTATGTGTGGTAAGTAACAGATGACGACTTTTCTGGTGCAATAAAACCAGGACTGCAAAAACAACGGTTCACTCCTCTTTCGCTTTCCGTCCAGGAGAAATCCTTTGGCCAGGTAATAAAATGGATAATTTAACACTCACACATACATTGTAGTTATCAAGTGATGACTTGGATGTGTGAATGAAACACCTCAAACACAACAAATAGAAACAAAACAAAATTCCTTCCAGTAGCACTTTAGAGACCAGCTAAGTTTGTTATTGGTATGAGCTTTCGTGTGCATGCAAACTTCTTCAGATACACTGAAACAGTGTGCATGCACACGAAAGCTCATACCAATAACAAACTTAGTTGGTCTCTAAGGTGCTACTGGAAGGAATTTTTCATTATTATTTTGTTTCGACCACGGCAGACCAACACGGCTACCTACCTGTAACTACAACAAATAGAAGTTCAGGTAACTGTAGGGCAGCTGAGAGGGAGGCAGTGGGCAGACACAAGTCCCATGCTGCCGTTTTGGGCAACGCGGAGCGTGCAGCCGCCCAAGCCACTGTCTCACGCCCAGGAGAAATGCATGGCTCGGGCGCACTGCAATGCCACTCTCTGGGTGAGTGGTGCCCAGTGCACACACACCCCACCCCCTAGCTATGTTTCTGCATCCACTCACCTTCCAGGCCTCACATGGCCATTAAAGTCCAGAGGCTGATTAGTGCCACTCTCAGTAGCAAAGTGAAACATTTACCCCCTCCATAGTAAAGACTAAGGCTAGCACCAGAGAGCAAGAAGACCACCAGCACTGGCAGCTGGAATATCTGAGACACTGAGAAAAAGGCCTTACCTCTTGATTTTGTTCTAAATTGATACATCTATTTGTAATTATTTCTTTTACTTTCTTGTAACTAATGGCTGCAGTCCTAAATGTAGAAAGCCCTAGCAAGCTCATTAGGACTTACTTCCAAGTAGATGTGGATAGGATTGAGCCAGATATAATTACACTGAGTTATATCCAGTGTTAAGTCACACTCAGAATAGGCCCATGGAAATAGACTAACTTTGGTCTTCTAATTTAAATGGGTCTATTTTGAGTAGAACTTCATTGACTTGGTAATCTAGAAAATTTTGAAAATATGGATATGTGGACCAGGGTATTCTTTGCATCTGAACCCCTGAACCATTAAAAAAGCAAACACATAAAATTAGAGCATATCCCACAACTGAGGGTGTATTCACCTTCTGTTAAAAGAGGTAAGATAAATTTCGAATGTGAAGACTGAACCAGAATACCCTCCACACTAGAGACACAGCCAGTTTTGCATCCTCTGTATAGTTAAAATGAAACTGCAAGTTGTTCTTCAGAGGCCTGCTTTTCTAAAATAAACTTTGGTTTGAAAAGCATGCTGCAAGAAACTGGGGCATTATGCGACCAAGGGTGAAATGAGGGCGCTTAAAAAAAAAAAAGTGGTGTTCAAATGGGGGGGAAATATGGTTCACAACCAAACTTCAAATAGTGCAGATGTTTTTCTCCCTTTGATGTTAACATGCCTTGTGCATATAGAACAAACAAGCCTAAGCTGCTTTCACCATAACCAAAGCCTTTGACTTTTTCAGCAGCATGTGAACCACAGCATAAAAACAATAATGAGCCAGAGGGAGAATATTTCTGGAATACATCTTGCTTGCTGTTATTGTTTTCCTTCTCAATGGAGACTGGGACTGCAGCTTAATTGGAAGGAAGGACATGTGAACATGAACGACCTGGTGAATGGACTCATTACTGTGAGAGTTATTTGCCAACTCTGGATGAAGAAGGGGAGGGGGGTTGTTTCTGCTTACCAAAGGCTGAAAGGCCTGGACTATGATGGAGGTTTCGTGTAAACGACAACTGTTAATTGCTTGCCTGAATTTTTCCCATGTTTTCTGTGTTTATGTGATCTGAGCATTTTATGGCACCATGGTTCAGTTTGCTTTTCAGATTGCTGGACTACGCTTTGAGTACTTGGTAGGGCAGCATTTTGCAAAAGCACATTTCAAATAATAAAATAAGAAGTGTTGGATTTAGGAGACTACACAATCGATTTGTACTAGGTTTGACCAGGACTTAACTATGAGCCACGGCTTAATGAGCCCACAAAAGTTCCTAAGCTTGCAATATTATAAGTTAAACAAAAGTCCCTCCATGTGGAATTAAAAACAACAACACTAATGTGCTAGTAAGGGAGGGACAGAGAACGCCACATTCCACTGGCACCTACTTGGTTTCTATGCTGGGTACAGAGAAGGGATGGAGTGCCTCATTTCCCTCCCACCAGCCCATTAACTCACTGGCATGGATTACAGTGCACGGGTCTGAATGCAATTCATTACCATGGGTGACAAGGCGAGTGCTTAAATACAAGGCTGGCTTAGTCTCAGAATCTGTTTTCGGTGTCACGTCTTGGCCCTAAAATGTGCATCATCATCTGCATCATCATCATCATCAAGAACTTAGTGCCTCTGGGGAGAATCTACCTCCTCCACTGAATTATGTCAGCTAAATCCACCCATTGACTTGGCATAGCAGGGATTCTAAGTTAGTACCCTTTTAAAAATGTGTGTGCATGCACGCACATGCCTGCAAACTTGCTATTTCATCCTGCAGAGCCTAGGAACAAAGAACTATCCTAACAGCTGTTTGTCTAGAAACAGCTGTTAGGATAATCTTTTGTTTCTAGCAGTTAGCATCAAAGGTAAATGAAGCAATAGTGGAAGACTATAGGGGCAGCTCATCCAGGGGGATGGAGCCACAGCAACAGCCTCCAGGCAGCAGTGCCACTTACCAGGAAGGGCAGGGAGCACAGTGGTTAGGGCTGTGTAGAGTGGGCGTGGTGCCACTCACCACAGCAGCACCACTGCCAGGAGGCTATTGGTGTGGCTCTGTGCCTCCTGCCAAGCCAAGCCACTCCTGGAAGACTATGTCAGAAAGTCAGCAATGTTAATTTACACTTCATTCTAGAGCAACCATTACCATGTACCAAACAATGCCATATGAAACAGTGATATATATCTATGCCAAAGAGTCAACAACATCGCATTTCCTGCGTCACGTTCACTAAAGATTAAAGTTGTTGTGGTTCAGGCCAAGACTGATTTGAGAAACACAACATCTCTGGTGCTGATTTGCAGAAGTGCTTTTTCTGCCCCGGGTGATATTATTTATTCTATAATTTATAGATCATGACTGAACGTTTTTAAACATTCATGGCTTCTCCCAAAGAATCTTGGGTACTGTAGTCTGTTAAGGGTGCTGAGAGACCCCCTATTCCCCTCAAAGGACTTCAATTCAGAGAGCGGTTTAACCGTCAATCCCTCTTCCCAAGGAATTGTAGTTCTGTGAGGTGAATAAGGCTCTCCCAACAACTCCCAGCACCCTTCAAAAACGACAGTTGCTTTGACTGTCTAGAGCAGATTAGATCTATGAAAAACTGACTGTTTGAATCAGCCCCTTGGGTAATTTTTGCACTGCGAACAACCCTGACTGAAAACCTCGTTTCTAATGAGAGATTCAGTCAAAGGATCATTTCCAGCAAGGGATTCAAACAAAGGCTTATTCAAGCCATCCATTATTTTTTGTCAGTCAATTTGAGACCATTTCTTTTCAGATTGGTGTTTCAGTTCCTGAAGAGAAGTGGATACAGCAATGGCCTTAGCATTCCCCAGTCATGACATCACTCTAATCACCTGCCTTGAGACGTCTCTTTGACCTGCCTTACCATGTCTGCCAGCAGTAACTGCTGCGTTAGCATGGGGTTTATGGTGCTCAGTGCTTATTTAATGGAAACTGCGCGGCAGCAAAACACACCGTATTTGCACAGAGGGAATTAGCTGCTTGCAAACAGCTTGATGAGTGCTCACTTTGTAGGCACCTCTTTCAAAAGCTTCTTGGAACCACAAACCCCCACATAGGTATCTGCTGCTTTGGGAAGAAGGCACAAACTGATTTTGTGAAAAAACTCCCATGTTCCTCTCTCTGCAGATTAAGCGACATACCGGTAGTTGGAAGTCAGCTAAACTGGAGAGAGGGTTGTAGAAGTCACTTAGCAAATGAGAACATTTTAGAATCAAGTTCAAAACAGTGAACAAGTAACCAGGTTCCCTCCTGCCTTTGGAAAAATAGGAGATGATTTGTCAACTGGAAATGTCCTGGCAGGAACTGGGATGCAAGAGAGGAGGGAAAGAGAAGGAAGTGTGGATGAAAGAGAAGATTTTCAACAGTCCAAGGCCCAAGAGCTGCACTTCTTTTCCCCAACCAAAATGAAACCTGAATGACGTCGTCGTGATCTTGAAGTGGACTGTATTATTTCTGACTACTAGAAGGGTGACCTGTCTGAATCCCACCCCACATATAAAATTATTCCCTTCTAGTTAAAAAAGCAAAAGCCCACTTAGCTGAAAGAAAGGTTCTAGTCTGGTTCTGACACCCTGTACTGCTAATTGTGTCCTTCTGTCAACTTTTTAAGAATTGTGAAACCCCCCCACCACCTGCATCCTGAACTGGTACAATCCATTCTACCACCTCAGAATTCTACTGTTTCATTCACACATCAGTACTCACACTTATGCATCCTTTTTTTTAACCTTGCCCTCCTCCTCTCGTTGCCTCCCACTGTTTCCTTCCCCATCGAAACTTAGAGTACCAGCTCTTCATGGCAACGGCCTGTCTTTTTTTGTTACTTTTATTAAAAAGCACCATGTACATCGATGGTGCTGTATACGGGACACTTAATAATAAATTGTGTTTCAGCTGAATAAAGAATTTGTTAATAGCTATATTAACATTTCTTTAGAGTTGTGCTTCTATTTCATTTGCTTTGTGGGCAATCCAGAAAAGAGATGACCACCGATTTGTGTGGTTCTAAAAGAGGATTAGTGACAAATTCATGTATGGGGAAGTCCATTGATGGTTACTAGTGATTATGATTGTGTTCTACCTGAGCCAAAGGCAGCATATGCCTCTGTATACCAGTTGCAGGAATCACAAGCAGGGAATATAAGAGGAGCCTGCTGGATCAGCCCAATGGCCCAACTAGTCCAGCATCCTGTTCTCACAGCGGCCCAACAAGATGCCTGTGGGAAGCCTATAAGCAGGACTGAAGTGCAACAGCACTCTCCCTCCTGCAGTTTCCAGCAACAGGCATTCAGAAGCACCCAGCCTCCAGGGAAAGTGGTGTTGTGCTAAGGTCCAGCTTATGGACGACGACTTCTTCTTTGGTGATCACTCATAGCTGAGTAAGATTGTCGCCCGTAAGTAACTGTGGAGGCAAATTCTGGATCCACACGTCCTTCCACAGTGGGGACATTGGTTAACGGGCGGCAGTTGATCATGGTGTGGATTTGCCAAGCATGCCTTCTTAGCACGTTTCCTATGGAAATATGGCTGGCCCTTGTGAGAACAGGATGCTAGAGTAATAATAAATTTTATTTATACCCCGCCCTCCCCAGCCAAGGCCGGGCTCAGAGCGGCTTACAAGCAATAATAAAAACAAGTTGAATGATTACAACTTAAAAACAAAATTAAAATACAACATTAAAATATTGAAACATTAAAATATTAAAATGTAGCCTCCTCGCAGGAGAAGGAAAAGAAAAAAGAAAGAGAGAGAGGGAGGGAATCAAATTGGCTCCAAGCCAAAGGCCAGGCGGAACAACTCTGTCTTACAGGCCCTGCGGAAAGAAATCAGATCCTGCAGGGCCCTGGTCTCATGAGGCAGAGCATTCCACCAGGCCAGAGCCAGAGTTGAAAAGGCCCTGGCTCTGGTTGAAGCCAATCTAACTTCCTTAGGGCCCGGGACCACTAGGGTGTTGCTATTTATGGACCTTGAGGCTCTCCGTGGGGCATATCAGGAGAGGCGGTCCCGTAGGTACGAGGGTCCTAGGCCGTGAAGGGCTTTAAAGGTCAAAAGCAGCCCCTTAAATCTGACCCTGTACTCCACCGGGAGCCAGTGCAGCTTGAAAAGCACTGGGTGAATATGCTCCCATGGCAGAGACCCCGTGAGGAGCCTCGCTGCAGCATTCTGCACCCGCTGGAGTTTCTGGGACAGCTTCAAGGGCAGCCCCGTGTAGAGCGAATTACAGTAGTCAAGCCTGGAGATGACTGTCGCATGGATCACTGTGGCCAGGTCGGGGCGGGAAAGGTAAGGGACCAACTGCTTGATGCGGCGAAGGTGGAAAAATGTCACCTTGGCTGTTGCTGTAACTTGCACCTCCATGGAAAGGGAGGCGTCAAGGATCACACCCAAACTCTTAACGGAAGGCAATGGCACTAATTGGGCCCCCGCAAGAGAAGGGAGTTGGTCCCTCATCCCCATGCCATCCTGACCCAGCCATAGGACCTCTGTCTTCGAAGGATTTAGTTTCAATCGGCTCCCACGAAACCATCCAGACACAGCTTCCAAGCATCTGGTCAGTGTGTTCGGGGCCGAGTTGGTGTGGCCATCCATCAGCAGATAGAGCTGAGTGTCATCTACATATTGGTGACAGCCCAGCCCAAAGCTCCAGATAATCTGGGCAAGGGGGCGCATAAAGATGTTAAAAAGCATCGGGGAGAGAATTGCGCCCTGCGGCACTCCACACACCAAGGAGTGGCGCAACGACATTTCTCTCCCTAGTGCCACCCTCTGTCCCCGACCAGAGATAAAAGAGCACAGCCAGTTCCGGGCTATGCCCTGTATCCCCACGTCTGCAATGCGGTGGTCCAGAAGGTCATGATCGACCATGTCAAAGGCTGCTGACAAATCTAAAAGGATCCCCAGTCCTGACCCGCCTCGATCCAGTTGTCTACGGAGATCATCTGTTAGGGCAACCAGAGCTGTCTCGGTCCCAAAACCAGGACGAAAACCGGACTGAAATGGATCTAAAGCCGATGTTTCCTCCAGAAACCTACCAAGCTGTTCGGCAACCGCTCTCTCAATTACCTTACCCAGATACGGAAGATTTGAAACTGGTAGATGTATCTGATCCAGCAGAGTCCTTATGTTCCTAAATCCTAAGAGAGGCTATATCACCACCACCCTGGAACAGTGTTAGAAACTCAGATATATAAGCTAGGCAGCAAAGGACTCCTTAAACCAAGGTTACAGTCACCAAAACGGAATGTCTAGTTGCCATTTTGAGGAAAGACAACTCTAAAGTCTTATTTTTCAAACAACGTACTGACTGTGATTGATTCTCAGTTAAACGTCTGGCTAGTTCAGATGACAACCTTGAGCTAGCTTGAGAACTTTGAAAAGAAAAGTCACTTGATCCAGGAACAATCCACATATCTATTGGCCTCTTCCAATCTCTTTTTCTTAAGGTTGACTGCTCCTGTTCAGGCTGCACAGAAAAAGCATTTTGGTTCCTGAAATTCATTCCGATTGTGCAGATAAAATATAACGGATGGAATTCTACAGGATGTGGTATTAGTGTGTGAAAACAGTCCAGATCCAATGATCCCCCAGGCATGCACCTCCAGATGGTGGAGATGTCAGGCGCCCAGGCATCTTCGCTTGGTCAAAAGTGGTGCAAAGCGCACCTGGCGCCTGGCTAATTTCAAACACTGTCCTGGAGGGGCCTGTGACATTTAGGCATCTACATTTCCACATGGCAATGCTACATAGGACAAGGACTGTGCTTTCTTTTGTACAAGTTATAACACATCCAGTGCTAGGGAAATGAGACAAGACGCCACACTCTTGAAGAAAACTATCTGTAGTGTGTGCAACAGATCAATAAACAAGCACTCACTTTTGCTATGAGCTGATTGTATGGAAAAATCCTGCGAGAAGGCTGGACTTGCCCATTTGCAGGGCAGCCACAAGCCTTGTAGATATTTTGACCCTCTGCTATTAATACGGGTCTTTGAGATCATGCTAGATGGAATATTTTTAACTCCCAAGCCTTGCCAAGACACACAGAACACTTGTAAGCATGGGCTGTATTAGGGAGAGAAGCCACAGCGGTTCACTTAATCTGCTGGGGACAGGTGCCGCCAGTTGAAGGAAAGATATTCATCACATTAGACGTCAAGGAAACCTAGAGCTCAACTGTTCACTAGGCCAAGCTCCCTTAAATACTTAAAAGATTGTTTTACTGATCTCCTGAGGATGAGGATCTAAGATGAGAGGCTGCCTTGTTTAGATGAGGAGGGAAGGCACAACAGATTTTTTTAAAATCCTTTTTTAATTAGGTATTTTTTTAAGAAAAACATGAAAGCATTGAAGATTATCCTTTTAAAAAAACTGCCCAACATAATGGGTTTGAAGATGGTTTCCCTTCCTTTCTTGTTTTCAGAGCTTTTCCTAACTACTCTAGAGTTACAGCAAACTTTTCCCTTAAGTGTAATCATATTGGCCTTGCTAATAGCCTGTTAAAAGAAACTTCAAGGTTTGGCGTTGTTCCATGACAGCTGTAGACTCTACCTCAATGAGGCCTGGGCAGCAAAACAACAACAACAACAACAACAACCCCAACCCCTTTGGTTTCCTTTGTACCTGTAATCCCCTCCTAACATATCTACGTGATGAAAACTGTACATTTAAAGCCATATCATACAGTCTTAAACAGTCATGGGTTACCCCAAAGAATCCTGGGAACTGTAGTTGGTTAAAAGTGTTGAGAGCTGCTGGGAGACCCCCTGTTCCCACAGAGCTGCAAGCCCCAGCATTCCCTGTGATTGATTGTTTAAACCACTCAGTGCTAGTTTCCCTACAGCACCTCCTATGTTGCTGCAGAGAATTATTCAACCCAGGCTTTCAATGTTTGCTAAAGACCCATATGTTCACTCAGGCATTTGAGGGCTGTTAATACAGAGCTGAGCTAGTCTACTGTGGACCGTGATGTATTTTGATGTGTTTATTTTATCAGCATTGTAACGTATTGTTGCGAACTGCCCAGGTATTACCGCTGAAGGTACATAAATACATTAAAATAAACAAACGTAACAGCAATAACCTTTTGCGATTGCTCATGAAGCAAAGACAAAGATACACAATGCAAAAGCATGAGGTCGAAGGATGTTGCTAGTGAGCCATCCAAGTTTGTCTCAATGCCAAAAGCCCTAGAGTGGATATTTCCAGTTCTTCAGGCATGGAAAATGGTGGTATAGGCAACAGAACAACACCCAAGATAACCGCTGTGATAAAGATCCTAATTTATCTACACCATTTCTAATCAAGCAATCTGCAACTCATTAAACTGGACACATTTCAGCAGCCACATATAGCAGCGCACAAAGGACTTCATAAGCCACCTGGCTTTGAACCATTCACAGTGTGAGAGATCAGTGCTTAGACTCATCTTGCCTACGTCCTCCAGGCGTTGTTAGACCACAGCTCCCACCACCAATGACCATTGGCCATCTGGACTGGGACTGGTGGAAGTTGGAGTCCAGCAACATCTGGAAGGTCACAGGCTCTTCATTTCAGCCTACAAGGATCCAGTATTGCTGTCACACGGCAGCCATCCTTGCATATCAAACAGGATCCCTTCATTCAGGGGATCTTGCTCCACAAAGTCTGCAACGGTTGTCTCTTGGTCCATCTTTTGGCCTTCTTTGAGTCTATCTCTGCTTTTGAGTCCCATCAAGGAAGCAAGCAAGCTCCAAGTTCACTGTTGGGTACCTCCTGTGAGATGGAAGAAGAGACATCTGGAGGCACTAGTCTTCTCTGTGCAGACTATTTCTCTCCCTTTGACCTATCTGGGCAATCTTCTGATATGTGCCACTTTCCCTGGCTGGGCAACAGCAACCATGCTCTGCTGCTGACTGTGGCATACAGGTGCTACAGGGCACAGCTGAGTTAAGAAAGCTGAACGGCAGAGTGGAATTGTTTGCACCTGTCTGCCTTGGGAGATGATGGAGCAGTGCACCTCTGGAGGTGAAAAACTGCTGGAAGGTTACAGCGCCTGCTGTGGCTGTAGAGACCAATATGCAAGAGACATGTTTTGTTGCAGCTGGGGCAGATGAAGGCATTTTGTTGTGGAGTGGCGTCCAGAGTGAAGTGAGACATGACTATGACATTTGCTTCAGGATCCGATCAAGCACCTGACAGAGAGCTTACACATTGTGCAGGTCTGATGGAACTAATCTCAGTAGCACGTTCAGTGGTATCTCATCTGCTTGCATAATCCCACCCACCCAAAACTACTTTTCTTTCAAGAAGGATTCAAACCAGTAACAAAGCACATCCCTTTAGACTAAGCTTGTAAACAGTCACGTATCTAGTCTCCAACTAACTGGGCAGGGAAGCTTTCCAAAAGCTAATGCTGTATATAAGACAGTTACAAATCTTGGTGGGCAGCTGGACTAATAGCTTTTGCAATTCTGCTTTCGAGTAATATGTGAATGAATTCATTTAGTACTCCTTCTCTGCCATTAGAAACCCTGATCTTTATGAAGGGATGGGGAACACACCAAAACTAATAAACAGAATACCAGGAAAATGTTCCTAAAGAGTCCCAATGGAAAATAAGAGTCCACACAAGCTCCTGCTAGTTAGAGCAACCTAAAAGTGAGGATGCTGAACAATTTTGTTTGGCTTTTTAAAAAAGTCAACTGACCTGATTCACACTTCCCAAACTAATGCATCGATCAGAAAGCAGTTAGCGTTCAGTTTTTACACTGCTCTGAATTTGCAGTCTTGGGTTTTTTAAAAAAGCACCAAAATGCATATATAGAAATGTGTGTTTTAATGCATAAAGCAGGTTAAAATGCATACACAAATGCATATTTTTGGAGAAAACATATGTCTTTTGTGGAAAATGCATTCAAAGATAATGCAGATCCCCATGTTTTTTAAAAGAAAATTGTAGATGGATGCAAAAATAAGAGAGCAGTTTTATGAATGAACTCATGCAAAACTGACACAGGCTGGAAATAGACTTATCTGCCTGTCATTACCTTAAAGTGAATGGGGCGTGAATCGAGGACAAGCTAGAAGGATCGCAGCTTTAGTTTTAAAAGGAAAGAGCCAGAATTCCTGCCAACATCAACTGCAATGAAAGATTAAACCGTGGCACCTTCCAGACATGCACTTCCTGCTCGAGTATCCCTGTCTGCTGTACATCACCGAGACACATTTATAAGGGCTCAGCAACGAGCTCTAAATATTACAGAGGATTTACTGATAGCCCTGCCTTCCAGCTGCTCCATATCAGATGAAATGCAAAGGATTTTTTTTATAGAGCAGGCCTTCCACTAACTTTCAAGAAGCAATTGCCTTGACTCATGCAATGGGCACGCAACCCTGCAGAGAGATGTCAAGTGTCACTTTTATTTGCTCTAGGTTTAATATTTGAGTCACCCTTTCAAATCAAAGATTACCTAGATTTCCTGTTTCTCCTTGTCGGGCACTGTTGTCACATCTGGCGCCATTTCTTAAAATACATCCTGTAAACTCATTAAACAAAAAGCTGCCTTTACATAATGTTGGCACTTGCATGGTTTTAATAATAGACAAAGCTGCCTAACAGAACAGAGGTCTATTGGTGACCGCATGAGAAATAGTGAGTACAGTGGTACCTCAGGTTAAGTACTTAATTCATTCTGGAGGTCCATTCTTAACCTGAAACTGTTCTTAACCTGAAGCACCACTTTAGCTAATGGGGCCTCCTGCTGCCGCTGCACCGCCGGAGCACGATTTCTGTTCTCATCCTGAAGCAAAGTTCTTAACCTGAGGTACTATTTCTGGGTTAGCGGAGTCTGTAACCTGAAGCCTATGTAACCCGAGGTACCACTGTATCACATTTTGTAGCCCCCGTGCACAAGAATTTAGGTTGCTTAAAGCTTTTACACTTTCACCAGAGACCACCAATTAATAAACTCTAACTTTAGTTGATTAGCCAAATAAATAAGCCAAATAAAGCCTGCAAGCTTACTAGCAACCAATCAGGGATTCTTCATTTACCATTTTCTCAGAATCCATCAGTGCTGGATTCTTCTTGTGTCACAGTATGGAAGAGAAGGAACTTCTCCTAGTATGCGGTGTCAGGGACTATATGGGACCACTTCAATGAGGGACAAATATCCAAGCTGACCAAAAGTTGGCTCAGCTACTGGTCCTAAGCAAGACAGAAGCTTGAGTCCTACAGACTCAACTCGTTCTATTATCTGTTATCTACAGGGGATAATAGAACGAGTTGAGTCTGTAGGACTCAAGCTTCTGTCTTGCTTAGGACCAGTAGTTGACAATCTATACAGAATTTAAAAAGATGTTTAGGTTTATATTTCCAAAAAAAGAGAACTTTTTATTAGGTATAACAAAGGGTGAAATCTCCAAGAAGGTACTCTGCCTATTTCTATGCGACCACAGTGGCTAGAATAATCTATGCACAACAATGGAAGGACAAAGAAATCCCAACAAAAGAACAGTGGCAAGATCAGATAATAGAGTATGTGGGGTTAGTTACTATGACAGCAAACATAAGAAATTGAGATGAGACACTGATAAGGGAGGAGTGGGAACATTTTGGAGGGTATCTAAAGAGGTACAATAGTCAAATAAACCTCCAAGTAGGGTTTGATTTGTGAACAGCAGTTAATAACAACTAGGAATAGTATAGAATGAAACTGGATGGAATAAAAGGATATGTAGCACAACTAGCAGGATCAAATAAGATGCCATGGAGGGGTGGACTGGGAAGTCTTGAGATATGAGTTGATCAAAGGCAATTGTAAGATGTATATATATAATGTTGGAAAATGTATAAATAAAAAATAGATAATCTCATCATCACTGGTGGTAGAAAAAAAGGAGATTTCACCCCTCCCATTCCAAGAATCTGCTGATGTTCTCTGCTGATTCTCCAGAGAGGAGGGGGCGGTTTCTGCTCACTACTTATTCCGCTCCAGCCTCACATCAAAGAGAGAGACTGAGTGTTAGAGAGAGAGAGTGTGTTATCTCTGTATAGATAAGGTTGCTGCTAAGAGCAGCTGCAGACACTCAGTGCAGTTCAGCTTCTCCATTTAGCTCTGTTTATAGTTTGTATGATAGTTGTAGATAGAATAAAAGTAGTTATTCTACAGAGCTGTTCTCCGAGTGGTTTATGCTCTGCTATACTCTGCTGTGCAACGACTGTCTTCGGGAGTGAATCTGGTGCTCACAACTCAGTGAATCCACAGCACTTTGACCTGTTCCTGTGCAAAAGGTGGTCTCTGGAAGTGCTACCCCAGGTCGCCTGGCCCAGTTGGGGCTGAAGTGGATGAGTCCAGTCGGTGGCACTGGCTCAAGGGCGATGCTGACATATATATAATGTTGGAAAATGTATAAATAAAAAATAGATAATCTCATTATCACTGGTGGTAGAAAAAAAAACCAGACTAACTGAGGCTTTATCTATTTTTTGAGGGTCAAAGTCCACCACGTTCAGGTACCTTCCCTATCCCAAAACTAAACAGCCAAAGGAAACAGTTTTGAAACAGATGCCTCAAGATATTTTTGACCCACCTTGTTGCTTATAGGGGAGGTATCCATTCCGCCAAAACTCCTTTGCCCAGATGGAGGCACTTGGTAGACATCTTGGCCCTGAAAACCATGGCCGGTGGGTACCTGGTAGATCCCCTGGCTGTGGTAAGAAGGAGGCACTTGGTAGACCGGATCCCGAGGAGAAGCATGAGCACTAGGTACTTGGTAGATCTTTGGCTGGTTAAAGGGTTGGTGTACAGATCCCGAATTGGCCATGTCTTGGTTAGAGGGACTCTCCTGCACAGGGCCGATGAGAAGTTTCACACGGTTGCCCGGGACAATGCCTTGCCGCCCATGTAAGGAGCAAAGCCACCATCCTTCCAGCCCTTCCGTGTTCTGTTCTATCACGGTCAAAATGTCTCCTTTGCGGAAAGCCAGCTCCTCTGCACATTCTGGAACATTATCGTAGAGAGCTCTTGCCATAAGATTCTGCAGAGAAAACAGAGGAGAGAACTTCAGCACAACATATTCCGTCTCAGACACACTCAGGTTCTTTAAAGAAGTAAGAATGCTTGGTGCAAGTAAGGGGGGGGGGGTCATTGCACAAATGCGGCATTAAAAACACAATGACAGCAGCCATGGACATTGTCACACCTGAAGCCAAAAGTCAAAATGGCAGCCTTCACTCCCCCATCACTTTCAATTGCCTCATATCCTTAAAAAACAGAGAGAAAGAAGTTGGGGTACAATAAGAGTATAGGCTTCTTTATGGCAGGCTGGGGAACCTTTGGGCTTCCAGACCTCATTAGACTACAACTCCTATCATTCCTGATTATGATGGCTGGGGCTGATGAGAATTGAAGTCCAGTAACATCTGGAGAGACATGGATTTAGGGTGTAAAATCCCTGCTTTATGGTAAGAGTCAATTTGTCTAAATATACATAATCTTTTATATCCTCTGTGGGGGTGTGATGGGGCCCTGGAAGTTAGGAGTTAGGATTCCGGTCCTGAAATACCAGTTCAAATGCAGGCCAAAAAATCTCTGTTCTACATTTATAACCAAGGATTTCATCATGTGTATAGGTAAAGGTAAAGGGACCCCTGACCGTTAGGTCCAGTCGCAGATGACTCTGGGGTTGCGCCGCTCATCTCACTTTACTGGCAGAGGGAGCCAGAATACAGCTTCCGGGTCATGTGGCCAGCATGACTAATCTACTTCTGGCGAACCAGAGCAGTGCATGGAAACACCGTTTACCTTCCCGCCAGAGCGGTGCCTATGTATCTATTTGCACTTTGACGTGCTTTCGAACTGCTAGGTGGGCAGGAGCTGGGACCGAGCAACGGGAGCTCACCCCTTTGTGGGGATTCGAACCGCCGACCTTCTGATCGGCAAGCCCTAAGCTCAGTGGTTTAACCCACAGTGCCACCCGCGTCCCAGTAATGAAAGGAACTCTCAAGGCACCGCTGGTTCGAACCCAGGATCTCCTGTTTACTAGACAGGCACTTTAACCAGCTAAGCCATGGCGCCTATTCATCATGTGTAAAGGAGACCAGGAATCTGAATTTGCTAAACTGCAACCTCAGTCTGGTCTTGAAAAACCTTGAGAAAGGTATGCCTCTTTTGTGAAAATTTTCCTAGGGAACAATGAGGTTTGCTGCCTTTAAACTCAAGTATGAGAAGTGTTAAATCATGTGTTGAAAGGAATAAATGGAAGGTAAATCTCTACTACTTCATGTGGCATGCTGTAAATATTGCATAAAACTGCTAAGTTATTTAATAGCAATAAAAGGGATAAGCATGCTGGAATGAAACCCAGGTTCAAATGTTTGCTCAGTCAGTTTTGCCTCAACCTCAGTTTGCCTTCTAGAAAATGGAAACTATTAAAAAACTACTTCACTGGACTGTTGCAAGGGTTAGCATGCAAATGTCCTGGAAAAGGAAAATCTGGCAGCTTAACATCTGCTTTGGACAACCTGCTGATGCCTCATTGCCAAGAGAGACTAAATTGCCGAGGAAGACGGGACAGGGCCTTTTCTGTGGTGATTCCTCCAACTATGGAACTCTTTCCTTGGGAATGAAGCAAAATGAAGCAAAGTGGAAACCACTCTCTCCTTAGGGAGTGGTTTCCACTTTGCTTCATTTTAAGTGGGCCGTTAAAACCTTTTTCTTTCTACATGGCTTTTGGATGATTTTAAAATGTAACTAATTCTGCTCTCTTTTTAAAAAAGTTTTGTTCTGTTTGTTTTAAAGATTTGAAAACATGCCACTAAAAAAGTATGTCCATGGTTCTGTACACACACACACCCTAATTGTAAAGATGCAGAATAGAGAAGCAGAGACACAACACTCTTTTGGCTACCCAGAAAGCCTTTGTACAAGCTGAGATTTAAAGCTTCATCTGTCAAAACCAAAACTAAGGTCCTTGCTATTGTTGGCATCCATCTACAGTGGTACCTCGGGTTAAGAACTTAATTCATTCTGGAGGTCCGTTCTTTACCTGAAACTGTTCTTAACCTGAGGTACCACTTTAGCTAATGGGGCCTCCTGCTGCCGCTGTGCGATTTCTGTTCTCATCCTGAAGCAAAGTTCTCAACCTGAGGTACTATTTCTGGGTTAGCGGAGTCTGTAACCTGAAGCGTCTGTACCCCGAGGTACCACTGTATCTCGAAACACAATGGAGTGTGCCTCCGGGGATGAAGTCAAACCACTGCATTAGCAGCACCAAAGTGACTTCCTTGGGGCACAAGCCTGGGCAGGGTGCATGGAGGTCCTGGTCTGCCTAGACAACAAGATGCCCTCCTGGCCTTGATGATGTGGTTCGAAGTAAAGCAAAGCAATACATCTGGCACCAGATTGGCTGCAGAATTGCTGAAAAGGGGCATACAAGATTTGTATTCCTGAGCCTTTTCTTCTTCCAAAGATGTCCTGCAAGGCTGTGGAGGTTTAGGATCAGAGCTTTCCTTCTCCTAGATGGGCTACCTTCCCAGGTTGAAAGGCCCCCAGCAAGATTATCTTGATAGCCCTGCAGCCCCACTGCTTCCTGAGCCACCATGGGATTAAGAGACACCCCTAGATCCTACAGAAAGGGCCGCAATGTGGCTTGTCCATGCCAGCCTCATGTTTCAGGAGCATGGGTTAACCCTGCCATGGGGAGGAGCTTTGGACCAGGTTCTCCCTGCATGGTCTCAGGCTTCTCAGGAAGGAGCTGTGCACCGCTGAAGGTTCCCATCCCACTAGAGTAATGCGAGCACTGGGCCTAACTCTGCATCCACCATTACAGAGCAGCACCCCAGCTCTGCATATGGTTCTGCAACTTCATAACATGAGCCAACCCATACCTCTTTTTAAAAATATGCCGTTTCCATTCACAGACAAAACATGCTTTGCCTGTCTCTCGCTCTCTTTCTTTCTGTATACATGGCTGTCTGGCACATTCGGTACTGAAGCTGTCAGCCAAACTAGGCAGTCAGTGGGAAGCAGACAAGCTGTATAGGCTGTCATTCTTGGACGCCTTCACAAAGGCCCAGAACGCTTTACTTCTTGGCTCACGTGGTCCTAAGCAAAGCATGCTGGCAGCCATTAGACTGCCCAGTCCTGTGCTCCAGAGGAGCCAGATAGCTGTAGATGAATTGCAAGAGTTCTCTTCTCTCTGAGGAAAATGTATACGTAGTGCAAAAAACACATAGACATAGCAATGAATGGTTATAGCCCATCCTAAACAAGCTGATGGTTGGTGGCTTCTGGAAAGTCATTTTAACAGCAGACAGTTTATACGAAGGAGAAAGCAGTTTTCCTTTTCGGAAAAAGCCAAACTTTGACAGCAGAGGATGAAGCTCCAGTCTCTCTCTCCGTGCCTCAAACACAAATCAGAACTAGTTTCTAACAGTACTAGAAGGATTTATTATTTACTCATTCAAACAAGGGCAGGGAGTGGATTTGCGAAGTAATTTTTTTAAAGTTTAATGTATCTTAAAATAAGGTACTACATGGTTGATTAGCATGCTGAATAAAGTCAAGTCAATCTGGAATGACTGTATGAGCCTCAAATATAGATTTATTTATTTATTTTTTAAAAACCCAACAACCTGCATTTCTGTTGCCTTTAATTAATAAGTATTCTTATTTGAAGGTGAAATTATGCTGATTTGATGGGGCAGGGGAGAGAAAGCTTGAGAGAGCACCACAAATAACAAAATACGTTCTAAGTAGGGCTGTCAGCTAATCAAGAGAGATTTTAATCAGACTTTTCACTGATAACATAGCTACATTTAAATAAATTTGCATATTATCAAAATATCAACACAGGTGTCTTCTTGAGAAGGGTAAGAAGCTATGTTCAAGATTAAATGCTTTATTCACTATTGCAAGAACCAGAACCAAAGATAGTATAGAACAACTAAGTTGGTTTATCTTTACACTCATACTACTACTGATTAAAATATGTTCTCTCAACAAATGAAAACTGGCCGCCTTGGACTACTCAACAAAAGCTCAACTAATATGGTCAATTGAAGCTTGCCAGCCAAAAAATCCTAATTCTTTGTTATTGGGTTTATCAACAGGATACAAGGCAAAATGAATCCAGAAGAATGAATCAACACAAATTAACAAAGATCATATCCAGCTTTGAGACAAACACATATGAACAAATAAAGATGCTATCATGTGAGTTAAACAGGACTGTATAAGCAGATAAAAATGTATTTAGCCAAATCTGTCTTTCCAAAAAGACTGGCGGACTAGGAAGATATGAGCCACGATTAATATGTGATAAAGGAACACCCAATTGCATAGAAGGTATCAGGTGAGAGCAGAGCCTGGGAAATCTGTTTCTCTAGGAGGGCTAGATATCACAGATGAGTGACCCCTGACAATCTGCCGTGCTGGCTAGAACAGATGGGAATTTCAGTCCAACATCATTTGGAAGGCAACTGCTTCCCCGCCCCTGTGCTAGGGGTATCTATTTACTCCTGTGTAGCAACCAAATTCACACCCGAAGCATAGATCTGCTCTATGATAACTGTCACTTGAAAACTTACCCATCTGTTGAAATCTTTCTCTTTTTCAAAGTTTTACCCTCGACCAGATGTATATATAGTACACCACTTTCTCCTGCCTGCGTTTTATGGGGAGGTGCTACAACTAGTTAAAGCACCAAGCCTAACTACTTTTGACTTATCCAAAACCTAACATGCCAGGTCTCTGATTTACAGCTGGGTGAACAGGAAGCAAACATTTAGTTTGAGTAGTCAAGCAGAACCATTCAGGTTTCCAGCTTTTAATTAGAACAAATGCACCGAAGACAGAAGGGGGGGGAATAAGACAAAATGTCAGTAATAATTTTGGGTGCCAGGAAAAAAGAACCATGAATGCCAATAAACAGGAATCAATAAGAGTCTTCCCTCTTTTCCTTTGACCAGGACTTGGCCAGTGAGCTAAAATGGCTTCACTTTGCTGGACTGGTTTACCAGGCATCACAAGCTGGGAGCCACTGTTCCCATGAAATGTTAAAGATGCTCAAAATTAATGCAAACATATATACTGGAACCTGAGCTTACCTTTTCCTCCTCCCTCCCCACTGCTTTTTCCTTGCCTGTCATACATTTTAGATTATAAACCTGAGGGCAGGGACTGTCTGTACTTGTACACAGCTCCAGGAGCCTTTTATCCTGCTAAAGAACGGGGTAAATAAAGAAAGTTAGAACAGTTTTTTTAAGTAAGCCCACAAGTTACTGGGCTGCAAATGTTATTAGCTTGCTAGGAGGCGAGTCGTCTGGGCTGTGCAGTTCTGTGTTGGGCATGGAGAGTGTAGGGGAGAGCCCCCTCCTCTGCAGCCAGAATGGAAATGCAGGATCGCTAGTCCTTTTAATAGGCTACAAAGTGGACCGATGGAGATGGGAAGGGGTAGGGGTGCTCCCTTGCTGCCACCTTGCTGCAGCTTCTCACTAGCTATGAATAAAGAAAGACTTTACTGTATCTGCAGCTCGCATAGAAACTAAGACAACTAGTCAGGGATGGGGGATCCTGCCCGCTCACTCACCTGCATGGAATTCCTGGATACCTGTGGCAAGCAAGCTACATAAATACAAGAGTGACAGTTATTGGAAAAAAACACTTTCCCTCCATTTCCTCAGAACTGTTAGCACTGATCAGTCACATGGCAAGTTATTTTGCATCATTCTGTGTGGGGCTCCCATCCTTTGAAGCCTCTGTTTCTTTTGATGTTTAGGTTGCTACAATATACAATACAGGAAGATGCCTTATACAGTGGTACCTCGGGTTAAGAACTTAATTCGTTCCGGAGGTCCGTTCTTAACCTGAAACTGTTCTTAACCTGAAGCACCACTTTAGCTAATGGGGCCTCCTGCTGCCGCCGCCGCACAATTTCTGTTCTCATCCTGAAGCAAAGTTCTTAACCCGAGGTACTATTTCTGGGTTAGCAGAGTCTGTAACCTGAAGCGTCTGTAACCTGAGGTACCAGTGTACTGAGTCAGGGCACTGTTCAAGCTAGATCAGTGCTGTTGACACTGGCCAGCAGCAGGTCCTCCCAGCCTTACCTGGCGAGGCCAGGGATTGAATCGGGGACCACAAAGCAGATGCTCTAACCACTGAGCAGCAGCTCTCTTCCAGCATACTCCTCCATGAAACGACACCATGATGTGGGTTGTTAGGCCACAAAAGTAGCTATATAAAAACAGGAGCCTGCTATATTTTTTTAATTACTCATTAAAATAAAAATCAGGGCGAGGAGATGAAAGAAACATTCAAGAAGGATATGAAGTGACAGCTTTAAAATGCCAAAGGGAAAGAGGCCAGGCAGAGGCAGGGGTGGGAACGCAGGGAGTATTCCATCCGGCCTCATAAAGTAAACAGGGCGAATGACGTCCATTGCAAGACAGTGGTAGGTGGGTGGGTGCGCAGCCATGGAGCAAACAGAGAGATGATAACTAATGCAGCACCATGAGATTGTGTACAATGCCTTCTTTAAAGGCTAACAAAACTGGCCACAAAAAACCCAAAAAACCCTAGCACCCTTAGTCTGCCTCTCCCCCAGACAACAATTATTCATCAGAAAACAACTTCAGCATCCATTCTTTCACCAGAATCTTTTTGTCATAGCAGGAGGCGGGGGAAAGGCTCCCAGGCACGTACACTTGTGTACATTGAGCTATCATATACCAGAATGATTAACTTTTCTTCCTCTGCCCCCGCCTCCCCAACTACTGCCACCTACGTACACAGAGAGTTTATTATTATAGCTACCAAGGAAACTATCACCTCTGAGTAAAGGAGAAATGCCTGCTCGTTTCTATTAGGAGCCGTTTCTAAACTACCCTAAACAGGTCATCCAATTATCTCACTCATGTTTAGACAGTAACAGGAAAAAGGAGGGAGGAGCAGTAAGAGCCCAAACAAAAAAAGGATGATGTAAGCCTCTCAAGCAGAAGCTTAAGCAAGTGACTAATTTCCCAAGATTATTATTAATAATAAAAATTTAAAGGCAGAAGGAATGGTCTGTCTCTAATACCGTTTGCCTCCCTTTCTCCATATGCATGGCTTTAAGTCCAAAGGAATTGGCAGTCTGAGGGCCGCAGTCCTTTCATGAGTAACCTGCTAGGGGCCAGTGACGATAGCAGCAGATACGACTCTTTGCTTTGTAAAATGGTGACATTCCAGCCACACAAAACCCAGTTGTTTTCTAAACACACACACACACTGCCCAAGTTCCTCAGAGTGCTGCACAGTGGTACCTCGGGTCACATATGCTTCAGGTTACATACGCTTCAGGTTACAGACTCCGCTAACCCAGAAACAGTACCTCAGGTTAAGAACTTTGCTTCAGGATGAGAACAGAAATCGTGCTCCGGCGGCCCGACGGCAGCAGGAGGCCCTTTTAGCTAAAGTGGTGCTTCAGGTTAAGAACAGTTTCAGGTTAAGAACGGACCTCCAGAACGAATTAAGTTCTTAACCCGAGGTACCACTGTATGTAGTTTTCTCCTCATTTCATCCTCACAACCACCCTGTGAGGTAGGCTAGGCATAGAGAGAATGAGTGGCATAGTATCCCCTAATGAAGTTGAAGAATTGAGGTCTGATTCTCAACATGGCAAATAAGAACAACCTCTTGGGTGAGCCAGCAAGAAAGCTTTAATAAGTTAAGAGAGTTCCTTCCACCAGTGCGCCACCGGCCCATTAAACCTTGTGAGCTAGTAACTTGCGTGGACTTGACACAGAAAGGAGGAGGCAAAAACGCCCCAAGTCATAAAGCAGGGACAGGGTATCAACAGAGAGAAGCACATGCTGTGTTGTGGAGGCTGACAATGGACATCTCTAGTCGGGAATCTGGCAGGCAGTTCTATGTCGGTTCTTTTTTATCTTCCGCTTCCCTCATCCCCCATCCCTGGAATAAAGTGCCTATTGTATTGTACTGTCAAGGAGGAAAACTACTGAAGCATTGTGTGTCACAAATCTGTGGAAAGCAGGAGATTCTGTGAGAACCAGAGCTGTGCAGATCCCGCCACAGATAGAAACATTATGGCTTTAGAGTCTTTTTATTTTTGTTTGTTTGCTTAAAGGATGCAGACATTGTTCTGTTCTGGTGCTCTCTGACCGCTTTAAAAACTCATGCAAGCATCATGGTAGCAGCTTAAAAGCACTGGACTGGGAGATCAGGGTTCAAATCCCTGCTGAACCATGAAGCTCACTGGGTGACCTTAGGCCAGTCACTGTCTCTTAACCTAACCTACCTCCCCTTCTGTCGACAGAGAGGAAGTCCACAGGATCCTATGAACCCCTTCATCTGCCATTTGTGGGAGTTGAGGATTGTTCCTTGAGCTGCCTTAGTCACAGAAATATTAAACAGGGTGGTTATTATACAAGAGGGTTATGGGATGGGCTTCCAACCTGATGATTTTTTTATATATTTAAAGAAAATGAAACAGCTTCTAGAAAGTGGTTTGCCACAACGGTATTGAGATTAAGCTCACTTCCACATCAGAGTTTACTGTGAATTTAGTGCTACTCAAACATGAAAGTTTTTCACATTGTCCGCACAATATCGCACACATCAAAATGTCCCTCAATTTCCTGCCCCCTCCCTTGAAGCCAGATTTCTCAGTTCCACATTTTACTTCAGTGGATTTTCCATGGAAATGGTAAATCCAGATTGAATTTGCAGATTGGGATGGCATTTTGATGAAGACAGTGTTTGTGGACAGCGCAAAACAAACACCTTGTTTGAGCAGTGCCCTAAATCTCAATGTTGTTGCAGGATGGCATTTTGATCATGTAAATGCTGAGCTAAAATTGCCTGCAGGAGCTGCACCAAGATCATCAATAAAAGGCTTTGCTGATGTGTCTTTACTTAGAGCTATGAGACACTTGCAAAGTACAAACCTAAGAAACCAGTGTGTTCGTCATTACTCTTGCAACCCTCAGGCAAAACACAACCATTATCACAGAAGGCCAAACGTTCCTATCAAGTACAAACCGTTCTCAAAGAGTTTCGTGAGGGGAGATCGGAGGGATCTCTTTGCAGAACACTTTGGCCAACAATAATTCCACCCGTGTGCTTTATTTGGCAGTAAGATATTCCACCCCCCACCCAAAAACTGGATGATGTGTTTTTAATGCAAATAAAGAGTGATGGCTTCCCAGCCTTGGCAGGAGCCCTGAGAAGGTGCTGAGTTCTGAATGCCCGGCCACTTCATTCCTGTGCATCTCCAGGGCAGAGGCTGCCAGTCACTGAGCCCACTAGCCCTGCCAAGTTGTCTGGAAGCAGCAGAGTGTGGAAAAATGTTGGCCTGGGCAGGAGAAAAGCAAGTCTCTCAATTCACTCTTCCAGAGAGCTGCCTGCCTTTGTTTCACTCTACATTACAAAGCGGGAGGATCTGAATATGCAGTGGTGAAGTTTATCAGCCTCAAACAATAGAACTTTTAAAAAATGCACCCTCAACCATAATGCTTCCCCCCTTTTTAAAAAAGATTATTAAGGTCTTTTGCTTTAGGCGGGAAAATCATGCCAGTTGCATTTTCTCTTTTGGCACGACAACTCAGATTCACTTCCAAGATGAACCAGGCAATGCCAGTCTAATTTTAAAGGTGTGGCAGGCATATAGCCAATAGGTTTATTAGGTTCCAGATGTTTCACTCACTCAAGACTGTGATGCAGTCCAGGGATGACTGAGGGTTCATGAATGATCCTGCGAAAGCACGCCAATCCTTTTCTCTTACTCTAATTTATACTCTCTTTGCAGCAAAAAGATGGGGATCAGTTAGGAAACAAACAGATATTCTGGTTTCAGATATTCTGTATCTTTACTGCAGAAGGAACTGGTGACAAGAGCCTGCTGCTGCTGATCCTGTAAGACTCCAGACTTAATATTCTTACAGATGGTTACCTCACAGAATCACAGAATTTTAGACTTGGAAGGTACCATGGCGGTCATCTAGCAATGCAGGAATCTTTTGCCCAATGTGGGGCTCCAATCCATGACCCTGATATTAAGCGATTCATTTACATTAGATGGCATTACTTCACTTGCATCAGAATGTGGCAATCCCTGTAGCAGCACCTTTATCCCATCACATGGGATGGAGAAACCATGCAAGACTGCCTTGGCCTCTTTCAAATATGGAGCTTACCACACTTGGAAATGCAATTTCATGGATGCACCTGTGGCAAGCCATGCCCGTGGAATATCCCTCCTCCTCTGGTCCCCCAAAGAGAAGCCACACTGGGAAGGTTGACCTTGCCATGGCAGCACAAGAGAAGCACTGCATACAAGCAGCTTGTCACATGGAGCCCACACAAAGAAGTGCCACCACCCTGCAAGAATCAGGACATTACGTGTGCAAACACTCAGGGCCAGACTGAACTAAGCCAGCATGCTGGTGGATGTCAATACAAGGGATTCTACTAGTGCAATGGGGCTTCTCCTCTCCTCCCCCCGTTTGCCCCCTGTGCCAACCCGCTCAGATTGCCTCTGGAGGGTGAGGAGAACCCCCAGAACAGCACATGGCAAGAGGAGAGGGGCTTCATTCCACCTGGCAAGCAGAAATGTTTGCCCTGATGGGAAGAGCGGAAGAGTGCATTGCTGAATTCCTCCCTTGGAATTTTATGGCTGTCCCTTCCAGCAGACCATATGAACGCTCACCAAGGATCTTCGTTCTGAACAATGTCCATTAATTAACAACACATGCTAAGTGGTGCTAGTCTGGGTGAAGGTTGGGCTCTTGGCTTGTTTGTGTGCCTACAGGATTGTTATTCATTTAAAAGGCCTGTGAACAAGCTTTACAAAACCCAAAACAGATTTCAGGGTGGAGTTGGATTTCATTTTTGTTGCTTGCTTTCTCACACTGCGCTCTCTCTCTCTCTCTCTCTCTCTCTCTCTCTCTCTCACACACACACACACACACACACACCAGCACATTCTACCCTGATCCTCACGCACATCTGAATGTACACATACTCAGAAATCCCGGGTCCCTATCAGAATATGCCCAAAGGTTGTGGCACAAGAGAAACAGTATTGTAATATCTAAAACACTATGCTTTTACCTGGGCTACCAAGTGCTGATAGGAGATGTCTGCTCTGTTGCTTTGCTTTTGGCACACTATCCTCTGGCTTAGGTAGGTTAGTGTGCCAAAGGGCCGATGATCCTGCTGCAGACTTGAGGAATTTATGAGATCACCAGCCGACTGATTCTATGCAGCCTTGCTGTGAAGGAGGTGTAAGCTCATAAAGGCACATGACGGACAGCGACCAGGGAGCAACACACATTAGTACAACTCCAGATGAAGCAGTTATCGCAAGCAGGAGAGAGGCAACCAAGCTACCATATCACATTTCCAGAACTCCATGGGGCGCTCATTTCTTTTCCAGTGGAACATTAGCAGTGACGTGCCCTTACATATCCTTTGAAAGAGACAGACCCCACCCTCTGCCTCCCAGCTCAGACTAGCCAAGTGTTTGGAAACTCTACAAAGTCAGAGGATTTTGGTCATATATATATTTAACCCCCCTCCCTCACCCTTTTCCTATAGAGCTATCTATTTTAAAATAATTCTTAAACTGGAAGGGGGCTTCCTTTTAAAGACCACACCATCATTTCTGTGCACAAAGAAGGAAAACTACGAAACCAAAGGGATGGAAGCAGAAGGCAGAGAACCAAGCAAAGCAAGGATTATCTCACTAGGATTTAAATACTACCATGCCAAAAACCCAGACATGTGTGGTGGAAAAGCTAACTTCATTCCCTTCGGCAAACCAGGAAATTCCTTGTGAAAGGAGACTGGCTGTTGGGTGCTAGGAGGCAAAAAGCTGAGTGGGGGGGGATGTGGGCATGAGAGAAACAAAAGAGGTAAGAACCCACTGAAATCTGCTGTGGTTGAAACTGCCCACACTCTGTATTTTTCCCCACATAAGCAATCTAGAATAAAATTCCCATAACATATTGGGGGTGGGAGAACCAATAGCTACTCCATAACAGTACTCAATAGCTCGGCTCAGGTTGGCAGGGTCAAGGTTTTTGTATTAATTCCAACTTGGGTCCGTGATATCTCAGGGGCTGCTTGATCTCTTATATCCCTACCTGATCAATGAAATCTTCAGGAGAGCTACTGTTAGTGGTTACCTAGGCTCAGATGCATGACTTCTATCTACCAGGAGTCATATCCATTAATTTCAATGGATAATAATAATAATAATAATAATAATAATAAATTTTATTTATATCCCGCCCTCCCTAGCCGAAGCCGGGCTCAGGGCGGCTAACAACACTAAAATAGTGCAACATTATAAAAACATTATAAAAATTAATTAAAATCAAAATTGATGGCAATCATAAACTAAAGTTTTGTAAAGATTGCCAAAGGGGGGAGTCAGGCTGCGCCCTGGCCAAAGGCCTGGTGGAACAGCTCTGTGTTGCAGGCCCTGCGGAAAGATGTCAAGTCCTGCAGGGCCCTTGTCTCCTGTGACAGAGCGTTCCACCAGGTTGGAGCCGCAGCCGAGAAAGCCCTGGCTCTAGTTGAGGCCAGCCTAACCTCTCTGTGGCCTGGGACCTTCAAGATGTTTTTATTTGAAGACCGTAAGTTCCTCTGTGGGGCATACCAGGAGATACCTTGGATCTGCTCCAAGTATGACTAATGATGGATCCAATACATTGCTTTAAAACAGTGGTGTCCTAACTTTTTTCAAAGAGGCCAGATTTGATGAAGTGAAGGGCCATGAGGGCCGACCAGAGTTACTGACCTTTTTTTAGGGTTGTAGTTGTTGGGGTTTTTTTAGGATTTTACCCCAGGAAATAAACCACCACAGGGGCCAGATTAAACCAACCGGTGGACTGGATTAGGTCCCCCCAAACGGACTTTGGACAGTGCAAGAGAGATGGGAGGCATAATTTGGACCTGAACTTTTAACATGTAAATATGTTATCCGGCATCGTAGTACTCAATGCTATAAAAAAGTCTGATCAGACCAAAGCCGAACAAACCATAGGGAAGCCCATTCTCATCCCCATTATGCCTGTGAAATGTAATTACTTAAGACTGGACTACTTTAAATGGAAGGAGCTTCCACACAACTTTTAAACTAGAATGGAAAACCTCCACCTACTAGAGCTGGGTTGAGAGTAAGATCCCTTCAGTATAGTCTTGTTAAGAGTAGCAATATGTGAAAACTCCACAGTCATTTTAACTCTATAAAGAATTAGCTGGTGATAACAATGAAGGCACAAACCCAGACTCTACTATTACAAATTACAATGCCAAATACTTTTTCTACATACACAGTTTGTTTGAACCTGTAGATTAAACATCAATTCTCCATGGTTCTTTAAAAAATAATAATGAAGAGAGCTAGATGGCATTCAGTGGGAAACAAGACTTTATTCCCACGATTTTTAAGCATTCCTCAAAGGCTATTGTCTCTGTACATGTCACAGGGTTTCCCGCTGAAATTTCAACTTCCTAGTCAATGGGGCACATCTTAAGAAGGGCCTCTTAATATGCCAGCTACATTCATGCAGACTAAATCCATTCTTAGTTCTCCCCTTCTTTTGGAGCATACTAATCCGGCCTGGTTGTATGAATGAATGAATGAATGAATGGGTGTAAAAACACAAACTTCAAACAGCAGGAGTTGGCCTTGTCCCCTTTGAGACTAAAAAGTTGGGTCATTTTCACCAACCGTACAGAAACTATATTTCTCAACTGAAATGTTTCTTCTCATTTTTAATTATTTTCTTTAGGGCAAAGAATAAACACTTTAAAATGGACAAGAATTTCCACTATTATTCAGAATAAAGAAGCGGAAAGAAAATAGTTGTTTTAAAAGAACAGTATGAGCTGTCAGAGACAAACTGGCCCAAGGTAAATGACATCACATTTTGGCTTAGAGGATGCATAAATCTAGATTTTTGTAACTGGCAGAAATTGTTCTGTATGATACACATAATGTTCTCACTGCTGATTGGCAGATTACCTGTGCTGTAACAGAAGCCTCTCCTTATTACCAGAACAATTCATTGATGCATTTAAATACTTCACTTTGTAAGTCTGATCTTCTTTATGCTGTGGGGCTTACCAAAACTTTAATATCTATATCCTCCCATCCCTGCTGTCTTGCTCTGATCCAACTAAGGAGATCCACATGCATCTCACTGAAAGCAACGCAGAACAGATATGTGGCCCCTGCGTATATGAATGAGCATCTGCACAACTGAACCAGCAAGTGATGCAAACACATATTTTTGAACAGTGGTCTCCTTACTTGGGTCAGGGAACCTGGCTGCATGGAGTCAGCTCCACCGACAGCCACTGAAGCCTGCCTGCTCGAGCCATGAAATATCTTGTTTGAATCCTGTAAGAGAATTGGGCTCAGAGGTACAAATACCTAACCATCCCTCCCTTTACGAGGAAACCCAAGTGACTGTGTAGGGCTTTCTCCTGCCAACATTCAGCGACAGCAGCAATTCTGTAAGCTCTTGGTCCTTACCAGTTTTTCGAGAACTTGGGGTATTTTCCTCCCCAAGAAGCCAAGATTTTCTTGCATATCTCAGGGGTCTCCTAGGTATGCAGAAACTCACTCCAATTCTCTCACTGAGCGTGTTTAGCTGTACATGGGACATCTAGGGGACTAACAGAAGGAGCAATACATATTGCTGAATTCCAGCTAATCTGTGATTCAGCAGCAGATTCCCACTCCCGCTTAGCTGGATTCAAAAATGACTCAGAACAAAGAATTATGAGACTCTGGTTCTGCTTAGTTCTTAAAAGTTCCCACACATACAGTGCATACAGTGTCTCCCGTTTCATGGACAGATAAACATGGTCTCTGAGCAGCTTAGTTAGCATCACTGTCTTAAGATGGCAACCAACACAATTCTCTGCAAAACACCACTGGCTCTGTTGCCACCAACACTGTCCTTCTGGGTAGCAAATTCTACCCAGTTCTAGGTCAGTTTATATGTCCATTCTTAGCACAATTCTGAAAATGTAACAGCCAACGCTTATTACAAGATTACACAAGGTGGTGTGGGTTTGCAAAGCCTGAATCATGCAGAAAGTCATGCTAGATAAGGGGAGGAGTACCTGTGTGGACCTCCAGACTCCAACCCCCATCAGCCCCAGCCAGATGGTCAATGGTCAGGGGTGGTGAGAATTCTAGCCAAGAAACATCTCAAGGGCTATATAGATGATGCCAACTGTTGCCTTCTGCCTGAAACACTCATTAACGCAGATAACTTTGGAGTGTCCAGCTTGGGTGTGAGAGAACGAAGTTCAGATCTTTGCTCTGAAATGAGGCTCTCGGAAGACAAGGCAAATCCCTATCACTTTCTTACCCAATTTGCCTCATGTGATTGCTTTATTGTGAGGCTAAAGTACAGCTGCTCTCTGAGATCCTTGGGACTGAAATGAATCAAACAGATCTGTTTAAATAGCAAAACTCTCACTAGAAAAGGCAGTTTCCACTATAATGCCAGCTGATAATCCAAAAGGGGGGAAGCAACAAACATTTTCAAAACGTGCAGCCAAAATGCACAGAACTATAGTTGCTATGGAGTGGTAATTTCTGGTTCAGGCAGTGCACTTCTAGACATGCCTACGCAGAAGGAAGTCCTACTGAGTTCAGTGAGACTTACTCCTATGTACACGATTGCAGCCTTAATGTAAAATAAAAAATGAACGTCTCAAACAAAAACAATTCATTAATAGTGTAGTTGAAAGTGCCTACAGTTCCTCATGTAACCTTCACGAAAATAATAGCTCCTTTTTTAGACAAAGCTCCCTTCATTGTTCTCCAGGGCATCCAGATAAATGAGGATGTCCTGAAATTGTACTTTAAAATGTCCCACAGAATCTCTTTCGTTTGCATTTGTTCTCTTCACTCATGCTAAAATAGACTTCCCATAACATGCAGTGCATTCATCTTGCATCCACTTCATCAGGATGCAAGACTGTAACAGGAGACGGATAGCGTGCTGTATTTACAACAGACTACAAACAGTGACCAAGAGTGTCATTAATTATCTTTCCTCTCTTTGAGTCAATGCTGATGCAAAATAATATGTAGAGCCTTTAAAGTATCGGGTGACTATAGCTGCCTAAAGGCTGCTAGTTACCCATGCCTTGTGAAGTCAGAGGAATCTCTTTTATTAGTATTAAGATTTTACTGATCTCATTTACCACACTTTGTGCCGTGACATTCAGAGGGGAATGTCAGGAATAAACACAACTGCGGGGTTTGGGTCAGCAAAGTACATGCCACCACCCCTTTTTTTACATAGCTTAATGCTCCAGGTCTTTCATTGCCTTGGTTACAGACAGCAAGCACTTATGGTTAGAAATACAGTAATCCTTCCCAGAGATACTGTTGTGTTTGCCTTGGCATGCCGACATTGTATTTACGACTCTGCTGCAGCCCAAATCGAAGGCCTCACAGACCAATTTGCTCAGCTTTCTCCCTTTCCTACCAAGTATCTAAAAATAGATGATCAATAACTCAAGCTTTCTGCAGCAGCAACACATGCCCAACCCCTGCCTTGCATATTGTGAACTACCCACCATTTCCCTAGGTTTGCTTCAGATGATCAGATAGCTAGCAAACCCCAGTGAACTGTAGGTAGGCGAGCCAAGTTCACTTGTACAGAGCTGTAAAAAGGTATGCAGGATCACCAGTGGATCCATGCACATTTCATCTTCCATATGTTCCTGTCCATGTAAAAACTGGAGGATAGAGTGACACTAAGCTACTTCTGCCCTGCAACTGGTGAATCAAGAAGAGATAGCTCAAGTGACATCATCATCGTTGTTGTTGTTGTTGTTGTTGTTGTTAGGAGGACTGCTGAAAATTGAGGGTCTTTAGCAACTTCTGAGCAACTCTTACTGTCGGTTTCTCCTAATATTTAGCTGAAATCCGCTTCCTTGCCATCGCACACCCGCTGGATTCAGTTCTACCCTCTGCCACAAGGGAAAGCAAGCCTGCTTCATCTTCTGCATGACAGCCCTTCAGATATTAGATGGCCATCATGTCTCTCCTTAACCTTCTCTTCTCCAGATTACAATCTACCCCGCTTCTCCAACTCTTCCTCACAAGATGGACCACATCCCTCCAGCCTCTCTGGATGCAAGATTAAATGTGCTCTCTGATTACTTTACCATAGGCTATGCCATGAGCATGGCCAAGGGGGGGGAGGGAGAAGGGAAGGGCAGCTGTCCCCCCAAGTCAATAAAAATACATGGCTAACTGAGGTTCTTCCCCCCGCAACAAAAATCCTGGCTACACCCATGGGTTACGCGCCATTGCCAGTAGAGCTGTGCCAGCATCTCTAAGGCAACAGAAGAGTTGTTCTATTGTGGCATCCTTCTAAAATGGCATATAGACACCCGTGGGAAATTTGTCGTTCAGGCCATTTTGTTTAAGCTGAGAAGCAGCTGTGGTCAGGGATGTGGGGGCCACACCCATAAACTGGCCCTCTGAGGCATTTCTCCTCAGCCAGTTTGCCATTTAAAGGAATTTGTGTGCAGGCCATTGAAGCTCAGGCTCTGCTGCCTTTCATTGGTTTCCTCCTCTGGCCAGACACTTTCTGGCAACTGCCCATCCTGGTGGCTGCCTCTGTTTCTCGGAATGCAGAGCTCAGAGCCGCTTCCCAAGTTACAATTTTCTGCCCTGGGCCTCCGCCCACAAGTCACTCCCATCAGAAAAAATTATAGGGAAGAGAGGACTTATTTGCCAAGGTCTATGCACATCAGACTTTGGCACACAAAGGGGCATGGGGGAAAGGCTTGGAGAAATGCACAGATATATTCCCAATGCTTCTGACAACTTGGGCCTTAACCAATGTGATGGCCTCTGAGGTGTTACAGCAAAGACCCTTTGTTGCCGTGACAGAAGGAAGACAGCTAGCTCTCGTTATTTTAATGGGATGGAATGCTCTTGGGAATGAAGCTCAAACATGGCAGGTGGTTCTCAACAGTGCAAACCTGGAAGTTCATTCTCCGATGGTGCGACTAGGAAAATTTTCCCCCAGGGAACCTCAACTGTGGTACCCAACTCTTATTATGCCTCACAGCAGGCACGTCCAACATGTAGATCATGATCTATCAGTAGATCACTGGACATCTGTGGTAGATCACTGGCTCCCCCCAAAGAAGCCAAACAACTTTGGCTCCCAACAACTTCAACCTGAACCCCCAAAAATGGGGTAGATCACTGCCAGTTTTTAACTGTGAGAAGACTGCAGTCTCTTGGGAATTGGCCACCCCTGCCTTACAGATGGGTGGAGACTCTCAGGCCTGAAGGTGAACTGCATCCTTCCAGGCCTCTCTACCTGGCCCTAGAATACTCTCCAAATTTGGTTGGACTGTGTCCTAGAACTCTGATCATGCCTCCTTGTCTGGATGGAGAATACAGAGGTGGGTGTGGGTGTGGGTACATACTGGGCTCCTTTGGGAAGAAGGGCGGGATGTAAAATTGATTGATTGATTGATTGATTGATTGAAACTACCCTACTGCACAGAGGTAAAATTTACGCTTGCTCTTCCATCCACTTTTGCCTCTGGCAACACCCACCATCGGCATGCGGCCCCTGGAAAGCTGTCCAGAAGAGAATGTGGCTCTTTGGCTGAAAAGGGTTCCCTACCCCCACATTACAAGTATTCAAACGTCTACTAGATTATACACGAAGTGCAATGTATGGGAGTGGGGAGATTAATACTGCTGTGTATCAATGATGTTTCAAGATTTTGTTGGAAAGCATAATAAACTCAGTTTATTGCCTAGCAGGTGAATCTTTGTAACATGCTCAGGCCAACTATCCATCTTATCAAGTTTCTATTTTTAAGTAGTGGCCAAATCAAAGCTTTGTTATTAGGAAAACAACAGTTGTTTATTAAAATAGTAGGCATTTATGTCACACAACAGTGGAAACTCTAGGATTACAACTCCAGGACATCAAAAAAGATGTAGGGAAATTGTTGGAACATGTGTATTCTTGCAAGCTGTAAAATGTATGCTTCAGAGAAGTGTCCAGATTTTGCCATTCAGAATGAATTTGAGGAAAGTGATTGGTTGCATGACTTTGATGACCAGCAATTTGATCCAGACCAACCTAATGAGCTCTATACCTGAGCAAGACTTTGAAGTCTTGCAGCCAAACCAATTCTCTATCCATTAAACCACAAGGGGTATTCATTTTGTTATGCAAACAAAAGCAATAATAATAATAATAAATGACAGGACATAAAATAAGCAATATATTAGATGCTGACTGTTTGCCTTGCTTTTAAGAAAGGCAACAGGAAGTAGTTTTTCAAGTTACATCAACTTTGATAAACGGTTTTAAGTTTGTAGTAGTATTAGTGAAATCTATAGAATTACTCCAGGGTGAATGATTTGTGGACTTCAGCTTAAGAATGTTAGCCTTGGGTAAACTGTTTAAATAAATACTTCAGACTCCCTAAGAAATGTAAACAAACTAGTTTACCAGGAAGGTTTTATAGATGCAAAAATCTTCTGATTTTATGGTTTGCTTGCTCGCTGGCACAAAAGAAGTCTGCCCTGCTCCATCTAAGAGCATTACATAGTATTCAGTCAGTCAGTCAGCATTCAGTCATCTGAATTAAATTACTCATTTCACATGCACTCAGTGTTTTGAAGGAGACTGCATCTATATATGAAACAGGATCGTCGCTTTTGGCAGTGCGGGAAGGATAAAAAAGGGATAACCAGAAATGTCAAGGTGATTTTATAATCCCAAAGGGATTACGGTGCAATTAAGGCAGAGTATCCCATACCCAGTTGAAGCCAACAGCAAAATGTTCCTTGATCTCAGTAGCTGGGCAGGTACATGGGCCTCACATTTCCTTTCAAAACACTGTTTATAAGTGGGTGTATTTCTGAACTGAGGCTGGTTGAGATCCTGACAGCTTTCAAAGAGTAGCATTAAGTCAGAGATCCTTCCTCCTTGCTCCCTGTATCTTCCATCCATGCAATGGGAACTGAGGAAACGGCAGGATTGCTGGCAGCCACGAAGAATAGCCAATATATTTCTTCCAAAATTACTTAGAAGCCAATATTTGTAAGCCCCTTCCTTTTCTCCCAGAGTTGGTACTATCTACTCCCTACCCAGGTTCATACCTCAACAGATGTTCTACTGCTGACCACCAGAACCTGCTACCTACCCAATTGCCCTCTCCAAGACTCCAAGTTCACAGTTCCACCTGCTCACTTGCCTGGGTGTTGATCCAGGTCTCACTCCTCCATTTGTGAACCTTGGGAAGCTTTCCTAGCAGTGCCATGCAGCGCTTCAAGCAGAGCTAGGCCTAAACACCCTTTAAATTTACCATCCTAGGTCAGGGGCATTGTGGGAAATGAAAATGGTGGCCAGATTCAACCATGTGACACTGCTCAGAGTGGCGGGCCATTTAAAAAAATAATAATAGTGAAGGGAGGGAGCCAAGGTAGATGCTGTCAGCTGCTCACCTATGCCAGGTGCTGCCACCAGCCCTGAATCTGGCTGCAAAGAAAGAGGATGAGCAAATCCTGGGGCTAGCACTGTGAGACATCTCTCAGGAAAAGAACTGCTGTCAGCACTGCCCTAAATTCAAGTTTTTAGTTGCCTTTCAAGATCTTCTGCCACAGCCTATCACTGTTTAACCCAAATCTTCTATAGCAATCCTAAGCTTGGGCCCATCATTCATGAGATTTGGTCCTAAATTCCCCTGCGGCATGCGGGAAATTCTGAGAAGGTTCGTGTATACTATTACAGTTAAGAATTAGTGTACCTCCAGGCATGAATTATCATTATGACTATTTGCTACCCTATTTATTTTTGCATTCTAGAGGCTATAATCATAGGCTGGGACTAGCATGGAGCTATGCATTGTACAGCCATATAGTAAGACCACCACTTGTGGCCAAATTAACTCACAACATTATAAATAGTTACAAACTTCGACTTGGAAGGTAAAGAACTTCCTTCACTCTTTTGGTTTCATGTTGACCTTGACAGGTTTCCTTTTTCTTGGCAGAGGAACAACCTTTCCTTCCCTCCCCCTCCCCTCTGAGTCCAACAAAACAAGATTGCAGTAGATGCTATTTGCTGATCTGATGCCCCGGGGTATTCTTGTACCAAGCACACATATTTTTAATCAGTATAGAGCTGTGACTGACTGCAAGGAGCCAATCACGAAAGCTCTGAAACAGAATTCCTTTAGAAAGAGCTCTGCAAAGTTCAATCTCTTTCCTAGTTTAACTTGAAAGAGTTTTCCTAGACCCATGGGAGACGAAGGAATACAGGGGTCACTGCTACCAAATACTTGTCCAGATTGTTGCTCAGAGATACCTAAAGAATTGTGTACAATGCACACATTCCCAAGTAAAGTCCTACTGATTTCAGTTGTCTTTACTCCCTTGTAAGCATGCACACAGGAACACAGCCCGAATGTGTGTTTTTAACACGACTAGAATGAACTCTAGTTCAAAACTAAGCAAACTGGAAAGAGGGAAAAATGCAAGACAACAATTCATTCCAAGTGACTGAAATGTACAGGATTATGGCTACACTTTTTTGTATTATTAATGGGTAACATCTCTGCAGCAGGAATCACATTAAATCAACATGTGAGCCCTCTTGCTAAAAGTACAGGTCTAGAATTTTATATTTCATCAAACTCTGTTTGCCCCATTTTGTAAAGCACTCATCCTTCAAAGTGTCCAAGCTGGTGAACAACATGGGGACAGTCCCTTCTTATCCTCACAACTAGGCAGACATACAGGGACTGACCCACAGGCAGCCAGTGTGGTGATTGGTTAAGTAGAAGGAACTTGAACCCAGATCTCACTGGTCCACTGCACTAAGTTTTTAAAACTGGTTCTTTAACAGGAACTGAGATGTTTTATACTTTATCAAAGCAATTCCATTACGTGATGGAAGGAAATCTTTTCAGATCTTCTGCACAGATTTGCATGCAAAATGGGGAGAAATCCAAGCCCAAGTCAACAGCTAAGCCTTATGCTGACATCTAAATATTTTCTATCCAGCCAACATAATCCCGATCTCATCCTGATTTCTGAAGGAAAGAAGAACAGGCTATCTTGCTTTGGTCACTCAGAAAAACTCTCTGATACACCTTTTCTGAAAATTATTTTTATCACTGACTGTAAACCACATCCTCTTCTCAGTTATCTATTATTCAATGATATCTCTGCTGGCAAAGGTTTAAATTGCTCCACAACAGTTTTCTTTTAACCCATTGTTTCACCCCCCCCAAAAAGGTACCCACACATATTTGTATCCCAAAAAGGATTCGAAGAGCTTCAAAAGGAGGTAATAAAATCTCAAGTGTCTCATTTACTTTGAAATATTAACTTTGAGGCTGCAGTCTATACTCACCTGGGAGAAGGCCCACTAAACTCAATGGGTCTTACTTCCGAGTAGACATATGTATAGGGCTGCGCTGCTGTTTCGGTCTTTCTCCCTGAAAGGGCAGCCTTACTCTGGAGTAAGCGAGCGAGGCTGCTCTACAAGTAAGGAGCTAGAGGAAGAGACAGCGTTAACTGTCTTGCAGATCAACAGCGGATGAGAAAATATCGAGCTTGTCAGAGGCATCGTTGAGGCTGGTTAGAAGTTTTCAAACCGCAACAAAACTCTCCCCTCCAAAATACAAAATAAAAACTGGCTGCTAGCAAGGACTAAACGCAGTCACTCATTCGACTCGACTTTTTGTTTTTGCTTTTAAATTCAAGAGACCTACTGAACACAACTGAGGCATCGCTGGAGAAGTTTGGAAAAGTTTCCCGACAGATCCTTAACTTTGGCTCGACCCTGAATCCAAGCACCGAGGCGGGTCAGGCTCGCGTCATTCCCCGCTCTGCCAATACATCTTCCGGAGCAGGAAAAGTACATGCACAACTTTTGCCCGTCCCACGCGCGTTTCCTGCCCCACGCACGAAAAAAAGGGGGCGAGCAAAGTTTTTCAAAGCAACCCATCTTCTTACCTTGTACTTCATTCTCGCAGGCCTGGGGCAGGGAGTGGAAGAGGCGCTCCCTTTTGGACAAGTCAGTCCCACCACCTCGAGCCCGGGCGGGTTTTATACTCCATTGACCGCCGCTTGCAATCGAAAACGAAAACAGCCGCCTGCAAGCTCCGGCCGCGGCGACGCTGCTGCTGAGCTGCGTTTCGCCAGCGACTCTGAGCTCGCTGCTTTCCTCGCTCGCAGGCTAACCGCGGCGCTCATTTGCATAGTGTCCCGCTATTGGCTAGAGAGCCAGCCGCGCTGCGGAGGAGGGCAACGCCCCCTACGCGCCGCCTTCTGAATGAAATCTTCATGTAACACGCATTGCTCCCGCGCGGAGTAAAACGTGGGAAAGGCGCTGAACGTTCTTCTTGTAAAATAGTCTCGCATCCTGGGCGTAGGTAAGGGGGGGGGAGCAGCTGCGGCAGCTGTTCTCCCCTCCCTTAATCAAGTGAAACAATACACATACTTAACTGACCAATCACGTCGGTTCTGCCCCCCAAAAGTCCTGTGCCCCCCAAAGTCCTGGCTATACCCATGTCTCAAATATAAGAGATGGGAGCCCAAGTGAGGTCCGACACCGGATTCACTAAAAAACTTCTCACGACCCCCCATAGGCCCTGCACCCCATTTAGGACGAAAAGGGGTTCATCTGTTATTTGCTGCTTCTGTTGTTCCCTACGAGATTTTGTCTCGTTATTTGCAACTTTTCTGGTGTTTGTCTGAATGTAACTAAAGGTAAAGTGACCCCTGACCATTAGGTCCTGTCGTGGCCGACTCTGGGGTTGCGGAGCTCATCTCGCTTTATTGGCTGAGGGAGCCAGCGTACAGCTTCCGGGTCATGTGGCCAGCATGACTAAGCCACTTCTGGCGAACCAGAGCAGCACACAGAAAAGCCGTTTACCTTCCGAAGCGGTACCGATTTATCTACTTTCACTTTGACATGCTTTCAAACTGCTCACCCCGTCACAGGTATTCGAACCGCCGACCTTCTGATCGGCAAGTCCTAGGCTCTGTGGTTTAACCCACAGAGCCACCCGCGTCCCTTATTCCTGTATCTACAACCCAGTAAAACATGTAAATTGAAGAATCATAGCTGTCTTGTTGGACTACAATTCCCATCATCCCTGGCTGGGGGTGATGGGAGTTGAAGTCCAGCAACATATGCATTCTTCAAGTCACACTCACTCTCTTACACACTTTCTCTGCTTCGGTGGAGTCCACCACCACAAACTGGGATAAGTAGTCTGGTCTGCCAACCAGGGCTGATGTAAAGGCAGTGCTCCCACCAAACCTCTGAAATTTAAAATACAAGATAGCTTTGACATTCTTCTGAGAAGCCCATCCAATGTTCCCTGTGTAAATCACTCTCCTGACCCTGCATCCTTTTTTACTTTCTTCATTACGTAATAATTTTTATTAAATTTTCTGTTTTACAATTTCAAATAAACATTTTACAAACCTTAAAATAACCAATGACTTCCCTTCTCCTCTTACAATGGTTCATTTTACATATCATGTGCATCCCTGTATATTTTACTATAACCATTCAAATCAATTTTCCACTTTTACATCCATCAAAAATTATTTACTCTGCTGCATTTATCTTAATACTGCCAGCGTTTTCAACTGTATACAGTTATTTTCCAGATATTCAATAAATGCTTTCCAATCTCCTTGCTCTCTTATTCTATATGTTAAATCTGCAAGTTGTGCATATTCTGTCAACTTAATTTGCCAATCCTCTTTAATTGGGACCTCCCTCACTTTCCATTTTGGGGCTAACAAAACATGGGCCGCAGTTGTTGCATACATAAATACGGTAACCTTTTCTGACACCTGGGAATTTTAGTCTGGGTTATCCCCAACAAAAGAACTCTGGGGTTTTTTTGGGGGGGGTGTAATTTAAAATATTTTTTTCCCATTTATTATAAATCATTTCCCAATACCCTTTTGCCTTTTTACATGCCCTCCTGACCCTGCATCCTGATTGGAAGAGAGAAAAAGGCCAGCCTCTTGTAGGAGTGACAGAGCTCAGCTCTGCGGTCACTGAGACAGGTCGCATGGCATGAAAGACTATCTATCCTCTTTGCCCACATAAAAATTCCAGCCTGACCAGGAAGCCTTCTTTATCTGTTTATTAAAAATAAATAAAAATACCCTGCTCTTCAGATGTGAAGCTTCCGGGGCAGCTTTCAATTAGCAATACATTATTAAACAATGGTCTCTGCCCTCAAGCTTACAATCTAAAAGTTATGACACAAAAGGAGCTGGGATTGGGAAGAAGAGGGGGCAGCGGAAGGAAACCTGGGCACTAGTTTTTTGCCACTAAGTGTCAGCAGTAAACCAGCCAGTGGTAAATCCCCTGATGGTTCCCCAGCTGGTGCCTCCCACCATTCCTCTGCATCCAACCAGTCCATGACACCAAGTTATTTTAATATAATAATAATAATTTATTATATATACCCCGCACATCTGGTTGGGCCTCCCCAGCCACTCTGGGCGGCCCCCAACAAAATATCAAAACACAGTAACGCATCAAACATTAACAGCTTCCCTAAACAGGGCTGCCTTCAGATGTCTTCTAAAAGTCTGGTAGTTGTTCTTCTCTTTGACATCTGGTGGGAGGGCTTTCTGCCCTCTGCCTGGTTCCCTCTGCCCAGTTTCCTATTTCTGCTTCTACTATGGTCAGTAGAAGGGGGTGGGTTGCTCTGCCTTTGCCACACAATTCTTCCTTGAAGGCAGGGCGTGTGACCTCCATCTTACCCTTGGGTCCCTGGGTGATGCGTGTTGCCCTTCATATCTGCAGACCAGGCCTGGGTTGGTGGAGTCATTCTAATAGGCAGGACATCGTCTTCTCTGGAACCTGTGGCCCTCCAGATGTTGCTGTAGATGACAGCTCCCATCATCCCTGATCATTGGCCTTGGTGGCTGAGGCTGGTGGGAACTGGGGTTCAGCAACTTTGGAATGGGGGCACTGTGTTGAATACCTCTATGTTTCTGGCTCAGGAATTATCATTTGCATAAACAGCAGAACTGCCTCTCCCAGTAGAGGCTGATCAGAAGACTGCAAGGCCAGACGGTAAATCACACAGCGGGCAGCACCTCTACAGATGGGATGTGCTGGACTCACAGGGGCCCAGAGCTGCCATACATCTTTTTAATGAATTCACTCCTCACTGCAGACTAGCAGGTCTCTTGCGGCATTAGTGTCCTTCAGCACATTACTGTTGCAAGGATTGTGGAGATAATGGATGTGAAGGGCTTTGAGCATTCAGAAAGTGTTGCCATCCATGAGGATAGCCAAGGGGGGCAGGGGGGCAGTTGCCCCCCCCCGATCCACAAAAATTATAGAAAAGCATTGGAAATACTCATTTATATGAGGTTCTGTCATTCACCGGCAGCAGAAGCCTGCCCCCTACAATATCCCATTTACAGGATATTTTTACCCATGATTTCCCAAGAAAACCTCAACAACTTTGGCTGTCCCCCCCACCCCTCATAACCAAAATCCTGGCTACGCCCATGCTTGTACCTGCAAGGGAAACTTTTTCTTTTTAATACTGCTCTTTTGTGCGAATTCATTTCTATGCAAAACAGATGTTTTAATCGTAAAAATAAAAATACCATAAATGTGCCTTCAGCAGCTGGTGGTGGGAAAAGGCAGACTACAACCTTTCCTTTGGTCTGGCAGAAACAAAATGGAACGAGGGATCATGGAGGGAGGCATCACCCAGCAAAACAATGCCACAAGCAGGGCTTTTTCCCCCCCACAGAAACTCAGTTCCGGCACATCTCAGGTGGGCACCATTGCCATACTAAGAGAACAAGGGAGGTGTTTGTGGTGATTTCCGGCACATCTTTTCCCCAGTAAGCTTTAACCTTATTGCAAGGTTACTGTAAAAGGCACCTTCTTTCTCTTTACATTTCCAACATTTAATTGATTTTGATTTATACATTTTTGCCAATCTGCTAGTATTAGGCACCATCTATACAACATTTTCATATAATTTTCTCTTCTTTCATAGCATGCTGTAAATCTTACATCCAAATTCCACAATTGTCCCAATGCCTCCATTTCTATATTGTGACCAATATCCATTGTCCAACATATCATAGAAGATTTCACTTGATCGTCTTTTGTCGGCCAGGACGGCTTTCCTTCTGAGATTGACGAGGCATGCGACCCCCACCTGTCTTGAGTCTACTCCAGCTGAGAAATCAGACAACTCCTCCCCAAGCTAGTGAGCCCCACCTGGGCTGTAGGTCCTTGCCTGCCTTTCATCAGAACTGACAGGTTTAAGTTCTCGGATCATGAGGTCAGCGGTGGTACGTCTCATTTCACCACTTGAGGCAAAACAGGAAGTGCCACCGTGCTCAGCCACACTACCACACCACCACCACCCATTGGACACTCACTTACAAATGTTAACTTAAAGATCTTTTTCAGTTCATTATATATCATTTCCCAGTCAGCTGTAACCTTATTACAAGGCCACCACATATGGAAAAAGGTGTCTTCTTTCTTTTTACATTTCCAACACATATTTTTGATTTATGTATACATTTCTGACAATCTACTAGGTGTTAGGGAAGTTGCCACTGTGCTCTGCCACACTGCCCCCCACCACCACCCACGCTGTACCATACCCTCCAACATTTCTCCGATTAAAATGGGGACATCCCATTCCATATAATTTTGCTTTTTATGTACTTAGTATGTAGAGTTGAAAGGGTCCACAAAGGGTCATCAAGTCCAACCCCCTGCAATGCAGAAATATTTTGCCCAATATGGGGCTTGAACCCATGAGCCTGAGATTAAAAGTCTCATGCTATTCCAGGATCCAGTGGCAGATCATGTGAAAGACCCTTTCCCTGAAGTGCTGCTTCCACTCAGAGTAGACAAGGCTGGGTTCGTTGGACAAATAGGCTAACCCCGTATGAAGTAGCCTTCTGTGTTCCCCCCCAAAAGCTTTTTTGAAAGCAGTAAATGTGTATTTTGCACCAACATGGTGCTACAATATGGTGTATAGCATGCACATTCTCTTCATGGAAGGCTTTCAGCTATGGGTGTATTCTATTAACGTTAAAGACAATATATCTAAAGTGTTTCACTGAGACAGCAAAAGCAGAGGGCGCTGCAGAGATATAGGAATATTCATTAGAACCCTGTACCAT